ACACAATTTAAATTATCCGCTATCATCGTTTTACAAACTAACATGCACACAACCAACACCAGATAAAAAAAAATGCTAAAGTGAACACGCTATAGTACCGACCTCTAAACCTTTAAACTATAAGAGTGGGCGCCATTGTCACGTTTTATTTATGTTAAAATAAATAAAAAGAAGACAAAAAGGATATTAGAATTTAATTTTAAAATGAATTTACAATCTTGTAGCAAAAAAATAAAATATAAGTGGGTCGTGGGTAGGTACGAGGTCGATAGCGAGTGCACCGTAATGACACTCCCCTGGATACGTAGCTTCTTCCACGTTGCATTTACTCGGTTGTGGTCCCTTCTTGCTTGAGAGGAATAAAACAGTCTTATTCTAGAAATTGTATTAAAACCTGTGTGACGAAGTCTCGGTGTTTTAGTTCAAAAGTAGTTATTAACTTGAATAGTGCGACTAGCAGTATGTACATCGCGGAAGAAAGAGGTTCACCTTATGCTCCTGACTACCGGGTATTCTTCAAGGATGAGAGTGGTCCAATCTCACCATTACATGACATCCCATTATGGGTAGACCGCACTCAGCGTATAGTCAACATGGTAGTGGAGGTCCCACGTTGGAGCAACGCAAAGATGGAAATCAGTCTTTCTGAACAACTCAACCCAATTAAACAAGACGTAAAAAAGGGCGCGTTACGATTCGTTTGCAATGTTTTCCCGCATCATGGTTACATCTGGAACTATGGAGCACTGCCACAGACCTGGGAAAATCCCCACCATGTCGACCCGTCCACTCAAGCAAGAGGTGATAATGACCCTATCGATGTTTTGGAAATTGGAGAACGAGTAGCTGGTCGTGGTGACGTAGTACCTGTTAAAATATTAGGCGTTTTGGCGCTTATAGATGAGGGAGAAACAGACTGGAAATTAATAGCGATTGATACACGCGACCCAAATGCTTCACGATTGGATGATATAGCTGATGTGGAAACTCATTTCCCTGGTCTGCTGCGTGCCACAGTTGAATGGTTCCGATTGTACAAAGTGCCTGACGGAAAACCAATCAACAAGTTTGCGTTCGATGGCGAAGCAAAAGGCAAGGAATTCGCCTACAAAGTTGTAGATGAAGTTCATGAATTCTGGCGTGGGCTAGTAGCTGGTGAAGTATCCGATGCAACAGATATCTGCAAGATGAACGTGACTGTGGAAACCAGCCCAACACGCGTGGAGCGCTCGGAGGCAGCCGCGATTCTAGCGAAGGCACCCACACGTGGAACTCCACAGCCCGTGCCCGCCACAGTTGACAAGTCGTATTTCCTGTCGAATTTATAAAGAAGTCGTGGCACCCGTCTAACTGCGTCTAGTGAATAATTGTATTTTTATTTATATATTTAATTAAAATGACTACCTTTAAAAAAAAAAAAAATTGTCACGTTTTATTTATGTTAAAATAAATAAAAAGAAGACAAATAAGATATTAGAATTTAATTTTAAAATGAATTTACAATCTTGTAGCAAAAAAATAAAATATAAGTGGGTCGTGGGTAGGTACGAGGTCGATAGCGAGTGCACCGTAATGACACTCCCCTGGATACGTAGCTTCTCCACCCGTTCCAGAAAACGATTATACTTCTGTCCAGTGTTCTGCGCCGGCGTTCAGTAAAATAGGGATCACCTTGTCCACAAGGGCAGCAACATTATGTGGGTAATATAACCCCAACGAAGTTCCTGAAGAAGCCAATTAATATTCTAATTAATATCAAGGCCGATAAATCTGGTACTGCCACTAGTTTTATCCCAAGGACTAAGAAGCAGGCGAAGCCGGGTGTGACTACTAGGCTACTAATTACGAGTACCCGGAGTGAAAAGAAAAGCATTATAATTTTACTGGGACAAAGTGGCAGTTATAATAGAAAGCAGTAACGGTTACAAAACTAACTGATGGCACAATTACTATTCTACTTTATTAATACTATACAGCAATAAAAATATAAAATGACTATTATAATATCAGTGTATTCATTATTTTTGCAACTCCTAGATTTAAATAATATTATAAAGTAACCCAACACACAACTTTTCACATTATACTACATCTTTAAGGAAATCTAGTCTAACAGTTTCAAATGATGTATGCGGAAGCAAAAAAAAAGCAGACAAAATACCATTTACAGTTATGTATATATTTGCACAACTTACCCAGTACGGGATAAACACAAACACTATGCAATTTAAATTCGTCGAATAGTAAATTCTTAAGGAACACAGCTTTGAGAACACGTTTTTTAAATAGACGACGAACCAACATGAACGTTAAAATTCAAAATTATAAGTATTAGCGAGCGTTAAGTACATGTGTAACTTATCAATGTTTGGTCGTGCCTGTGGCAGGAGCGCGGATCAGCTGGCCGCTGTCAGTGTCGCTACTCTCCCCGCTTACCTCAACCCGCACAGTCCTTGTCAAACCAGTAGCTACGTAAAGTAATTAAATAACAAAACTTTCACTTTGTTCGTATGTTCGCTCGTAAAATAATAGTAAGTTATTTTTTTTTGTTTATTAATTATTTAATATCAAAGATGCCGTTAAAACTTATTAATATAAACTACTATAGTTTGTATTTAGGTTTTTTTTTTATAAATAAAGTTCTTTTTTTATATACATAAATTGAAATAGCTATTAGGAGAATTACGAACGTTACACTATTATGGACTAAAAGGTATTAAATATAGGTATACTTAATACCTATTAGTTCAAATACTACATAAAAATATTAAATTAATGATTAAGCGTACAAAAGGATATAGCTAAAGTCATTGTTCCAGATTTATTTATCGGTAGAACACCTTACGATTTCACCTATGGCAACACATTCTTTGTCAAGAGATATTATTGGCCTTTGCAACAACACGGATCACATCATGAGATTCATTTGGCTTCCGTAAGTTAAAAAATAAATGACAAGGCTCTAATTATGACTTTTTTGTAAATAATTTTTTTTTGTAGTAATTTTTTGTAAATGTTCTCATTTGATAATCTACATCGTTATATAAATGTAAAAAAAATACCCGGCACCGGAAAACTAAAAGTTAGTAACAACAATTAATTTATGAAAATAAATAACAGCTGAGGAGTTAAACGCCGGAATTTTTGGCGCGCTTGTCGTGACGTAAAACAATGGATTGATATAATTCAATTACCCAAATCGATTATAAACTGATCGATTTTTTAAAGTATAATAGACTTTTTTAATAATCATATAGTTAACCAAATTGGTAAAATATAAATAAAAGCCTAAAACATCATTTGAATTTAATATGTTGCATGCCGACGTGAAGCAACGCTTGCGTTGTGTTTCGTCGTGTGAGTGAGGGTAGTAATCACTTACCATCAGGTGATCCCCGTCTGCTCGTCTGCCCCCTAACCCATAAAAAAAATAATAATAATACGTACATTGATGTTTTTGCATCGATATTAACTTTTTGTAACAACGCCGTTCCTAAACGTGTACGTTTTCGTCATATCCGTTCTGATAAGTAGCATGGCGTTTGAATATTTTAAAGTAACCGGATCTTTTTGCCACATTTTAATAATTATTTTCAACACGAAAACGAACTAATGTTGAATAACATTTACATAGCCTTTATTCTAAACCAATAATGATGGTAATAAAATATATTGAAACCTCTTTTGATTAGAGAAAGAGACAGACGCATTTCATATATTCATAAGATTGCCAACGAAGGTTAGTAGGTACTATGATGGTTTATCGCTTTTTTGCGAAGATCCTTTGGCAACACGCATCAAGAAGTGCTTATTTGAATAACGTCGGAAACCAAGTTTAAAATAAAATACATATTTTAATAAAATTATTGATATTGATAGTCAATAATCTCACATCTAAGGAAAGAATTGATAAAAGGCCACGCAAGGGATTTCCTAGAATTATCTGTTGAGATATATTATTGTAATTTTATTATAATATTGATTATATTAACTTGAAGAGTTCTATAGCGCAATGATCAGTACGTCCAGTCACGGCGGAGGAACGGAGAAACAAAGTGCCGGTCATAGCATGGGTGGCCAAAAATTTACTATCGCAAACTCCACGCTTCAGAAGACATATTACGCCGTTTATCTATTTATATTTATTTATCTATTTTTATTTATGTATTTAAATAATGAAAATCCGTAATTGGCATTAAGATATGTTAAAATTGTTCTACTATTATTTAGATAAGAACTTGCTGTGGATTTTTTTCTTGAAATAAATAAAAAAAATAAAATCTACCCTTATCAGTTCTTTTATGGAAGGCCTTTTATTATAGATAACAAAGGAGGATGGGCCATAGCCATAGCCCTCCACGCTGGCCCATTACGGTTTGGAGGCAAGTTCAACCGGAACCAACGGCTTAATGGGCTTTCCGAAGCATGGAGTAGCTCGAGATAGTAATTTTTTGGACTGATCATTGGCGCTTATCCACCACGCCACCGAGCTACCCTTCTGGTAGTATGGGGACATAATTAAACTGATAATGATGTAAAATGATTGCAGGGAAAGAATAGCAAACATAGTAAATATAGTAATGACTCCGTGTTGGGGTGTCATTCAGCCAAGATGTAGTGAATGGATTACTATGACTGTTTACACATTACAAGAACCAGCGACATTCACGTAACTATATACAAAGTTATTATTTTTAAACGCACCGCCATTAGAGTAAGGTATTTGGTTTTAAATAAACGAGCGTTAGGAATATCACAATAAAAGATTACTATCTACTCATCAATATACCTTTTGTAAGACACATATACCATATACTAATTAACTATGTATAATGAAAAGACATTTTCATATCATTGATTCAATGAAAGTAAGGTATCCATTTATTAACTAGTTAATTTCTCAAGTTACGATTAAAAATAAGTTATATTAAAAATGCAGAACAACAGTAGCCTGCGAGATTTTGGATTTATCGGAACGGAGACACTACCAACGCAACGAAATGCTAAGAAGAAGTAAAACAGAAAAGTGCAATCAAGAATTTATTATTACCGAAGGAGGATTGTCGCATCCCGTTAGTGTATTACATACGTTTAGTTTAATCTTTAATAAAAGGTTTACAGACTAGTAGAGTTAAGCAACTTTCTCAATAGGCGGTCATAGGATGGGTGACCAAAACTTTATTATCTCGAACTCCTCCGTGCTTCGGGAGACACGTTAAGCCTTTGGTCCCTGCTATATCTGTAGTCGTTAATACCCACCAATCCGCACTGGTACTGCATGGTGTGTCGTATCCCATTCCCCCTATTCCATTCTGGCTAGTGATGATGATAGTAAAATAATTTGGAATCTTTCAACATAAAGAATTAACCTTGCGATTCTTTTAGGGCATTAATGATTTCCCACCGTACGTAGAAGACATGGAGAAGCCAGAGCCATATTACTTATCACTGACAGTATCTGTATCATCGAAAGGTCAACGTGATGGTTACCCTCGGATGCTGTTGAATCAAATGTGGGAACAGGCATGTAAAACCTATATTCGATCATCGTCATCCATCTGTAACATTTCTTTATTAAAATGTTGAAGGAATATCTATTACCACTTTTGTTTTCTAAGATTATAAACATTCTTGAGGTCAATTTTAAAGGTTTTGTACCCAAAAGTTTAAAAATTTTAAATGTTAAAGCTAAAACCCGGATGTTCGTACATCCGTCTGTCATGAGGCTGTATCTCATGATCCGTGATAGTTAATGATTCGTTAATTTATGTATTTCTATCCTTAGGCAGAGCCTGTATCATAACTAGCCTGATACAAATACGTGAAAAACGGAAATAATTCGATGTAAGCCTGGAATATTTTTAATCGAGTTTGTGAGCCAATTACAAGACACTATGTTTAAGAATCCATCTCATTTAGCTTCGGAAGGTATAAAAAAACATCAAGTCAAAAAACCTTCATTTCCTTCACGCAAAATTACTAACACGACCTTTTTCACAAATTTTGGTTTTATTTATCATAGCGACAATGAAAATTAGGTACTGAAATAAAATTTCATATAGTTTTTTTTTTCAACTTTTTTTTTTAGTATTTTAATATGATAAAACTTTTATTTAAAGTATTTCCGAGTGGATTTTAATGATTTTTAGTAGTGTTTAACTCAAAAGTCTGCTGCGTATATTGCGTGTTATATTTTTGCTTCATAAATAATTATAAAGCTATTGGTATACAATATTCCCATGGAAATTTTCATTGGATTCAAAACAAAATATACTTAACGCAATATAATAATATCGATTGAAGTCGTATTTCATTGTTAATATGATTGATTTTTTTACAAATATTTATTGTCTGTGTTATATAAAAATATGAGTTTCCAAATATAATATTAGGAAGATTTATGTATTTCATGGAAGTAGCATAAGTAACAGCGTGAAAATACGTAGAAGTCACTTTATATGTATTTTGCTTATCGTGCCATTGAGAAATTAAAGGTATTTTTTTTTTTTACTAATAATCCGAAAGAAAATGTCGTTGGATTCATGCATATATTAAAAAGGAAGTATATGATACCCTCGAAATAAAAAAAAACAGCTGTTATGTTTTAATGTTTGATCTCCATACTGAAAGTTGGTATTTGTATCAGGCTAAACAATGTAATTGCAATGTAACATTAGTAGGCTCTTAAAGGGTATATAATGGTGCTCATAGACAGTTAAAATTTTCACAGATTATATAGTTCTGCTGCGGCTATAACAACAAACACTAAAAAAAAGGATAAAATAAATGTTTAAGAAGGCTCCCATGCAACAAATGTGATTCTTCTTAACTCGTTTTTATAGATAATGTTCGTGTAAATAAGGTAAGGGTTGTTCGTGCGGGAATCCGACTTGCACTTGGCCGACTTTTATGGTTTGTGTGATGTAATCTAATCGTCGCTTTGATATCACGAAAATATTTATTACTAGCTTTCCGCCAGCGGCTTCGCCCGCATGGTCCGCTGGTACCTTACTCATAGATCTAAACTCCCCTCTCGCACGCGCACCCCCGTCTTTGTGACGTCCTCTTCGCAACGGGCCGTGCAGTAGAAATCGTAATATTTTAATTTCGCCATAAGTTCAAAACCAAACGTTCAATTTTAATTATTCTATGACCAAATATTATTTTGATAAGGATTAATAGCATGAGTTAAATAAACGCGTTTAAATTGTAGTCTAAATAATTCAAGATTTTTAAATAAAAAAATATTGTTGTGCGTCACTCGACATAAATAGATATGGTGTCTCGCGAACTTTTTTGTAGATATTCATAAGATTTACAATTAATAAGAACATTTTATGGTTCTATCTATTATAGTTTAGGCAGCGTACGCAAAATAAGTTACTTTTCTGGTTGATTTTTTACACCTTGTGTCCGAAAAACCCAAATATCTTACGAAACCCTATTTTTTCCAAAATAAAATATTTCCTATGTTACTCGTAGATAATGTAGCTTTCGAATGGTAAAAGAATTTTTAAAATCGGTCCAGTAGTTTTTGAGCCTATTCATTACAATTAAACAAACAAACATACATAGAAACAAAGTTTTCCTCTTTATAATATTAGTATAGAAGTGAAGATTAAAGAGTCAGACCCCTAACAAAATTGGACCAGAAGGTCAATTCCACTCATGTTTACGTAATAATCGAATCTCAATATAAACTCGATTACTTGCATATTGCAGATTTGGCCTACTGTCTTTCAGTTAATACAAATCATATATTTAATTTACCTTACGTGTAAAAATATCTTGCCTTTCAGACTCCACCCTACGACTTACTGTCGACAGATTTGAGCGAGTATGGAGGTGCTGAGAGAAATTCTGGCAGCAATAGCATGACGAAAGCAGATATTTTACGGGTCATAGATGGTATTTTATGGTAAGGTACCATTTGATTAGTTATGAATTAAGCACGTATGTTGTTCAGTTTGGTAATAGTTGTAGTATCTAACTGAAAATTACAAGAAATTGTACGTTTTGGGTTACCTAAAGCAAAATATTGGGGACGATGTTATTTTTGGTGCTTAATAAAGCCATTGGTATAATTAGGTGTTAAGGCAAAAGAGGGTTGACATTGTTATTGAAATAGTTTATTGTTATTTAAAAGTATTATTATCAACAAAATTATCAATCGAAAGAATTTTCTAATTAAATAAAAACTTAATTTTTTAATTTGTTTTTAGTTACTTGCGTGTATGTGAAATTAATTTTCATTAAGACTCCAATCTAAATACTACATTCAAAACAATAAGAGCCACATTAATAGCTTATAAGCAGAATATTTGATTGACTATTCAAATTATGGAAGTCTGAAAGGAAAATTTATTTAATAAATCTTTATGAAATATTTCAGGGATGCCTTACATAGCAAAATGTTTAAGCATCAAATTGAATTTTATTCAAGAGAGGAAATACCAACATATTCACAAGTGGTAAAAGTTCTTGAAACGGACACATCATCACGACTCAGTAGACGGTAAGCAACATTGTGTATACAATAAGACTACTTTGTATAAGATGTGTGACTAATTTGTGTAAGCAAGTGACTACTTTGTGTAAGCAATAGGACTACTTTGTGTAAAAAATGTGACTACTTTGGGTAAGTAAAGTGACTACTTTGGGTAAGCAATGTGACTACTTTGTGTAAGCAATGCGACTAAGTTGAGTGAGAGATGGAATTACTTTGTGTAAACAGTGGGACTATGTTGTGTAAGATGTGGACTATTTTGAGAAAGCAATTAGACGACTTTTTACAATCAATGAGACTCGACTACTTTGTGTAAGATGGAACCACATTAGGCAAAAAATGGGATTACTTTTTGTAAGCTATTACTATTTACGTCCGCACTACTGTGGCTCAGGCTTTCCCTATGTATGAAATCAAATCGAATAGAGGATGGGCCCATGGCCCACCACGCAGGTCCAATGCGGATCGATGGGTGTTGATGACTGCGGATGCAGCCGGGACCAACGGCTTAATGTGCCTTCCCAAATTACGGAGGAGTTCGATATAATAAAATTTTTGGTCACCTATCCTATGATCGGCCCTTGCGAAAGTTGCTTATCAACCATATCCCAGACCAAGCGTAATTATTGTGCAATCGAACTCCTCTTGTAAGCAGCGGGACTACTTTATATAACCAATGAGAATTATAACTGTCAGCATTGGAGCTAATGATATTACTTCAATTTTACAGCGTAACATCTGGGATTTGTGATGCGATAGTGAACAAAGCAGTTTTCCACGTATATAACCTGAATCCTAAACACGAAATTTCGATTATGGAAGCCGAATAATATGAACTAATGTCGGCGAAAAAATTATCATTATTAAAAGAGGCCATCAATAAATTACGTAACATGTTACAAAATGTTTGACATCCCCATCCTTGTTACAACTGGTCACGTTTGTGAGACTCCCCCCTCCCTAACGTGACTTTACATATTCTAAAATTTTACACTTAAAAGTATTAAGTTAAGTTTTTAAAACATTTGACGTGGAATAGTCCCTTATCGTTTTTTTTTTAAACAAGTTTTTGAAATATGACGTCACAATATTTAAAACCTCCTCCCCTTAATATGTGACATAATTTATGGATGATCTCAAAGTACGTTTATACTTAAACTTATAATTTTGTTAGTTTTGAATGTTTTGTATATTAGTAGTAAAATAAACATGATAAACTTTTCAACACATTTTACTTAACATAAGTATAGTCGACATCACAATCTTCATCACATTAAAATAATTCAAGATCATTAAATAGGAATTTACCTATGATATAATTTTTCAGTCTAAGATTTTCTCAAGCTTGAATTGTAATTTGTTTGCCTTCATAGACGGTATAACTTTAACGGATACTCGGTCGCCCAACTTCGGCGTTGCGTTACATCCAAGATTTTTTCTATGAATCAACCCATTATCACCAACACCGCAGTCGACGAAACATCCGAAAGGCACTACATTACGAACAACACCTGTAAAATGGAAAAAAACTAGATAACAAATAAATATTATGTAGACAATAGCACATACATTGCTCAGATTCGAAGACGAGTAGCTAAACTTCCCGTATCTGAGACACGAGGTAAACACATCATCCAGACCCGAGACAATAGAGAAAAATTCGTATTCTACATTTACATACATTGATCATACAGGATTGATTGTAAACTACAGGTCTGTTATCTAAAGCTGGCACGTTCACAGTACTCACACTAGTACAATTTCTCTATACAGTATGTTTAAAAAAATAAATTTGATTAAAAGAGCAACTCATATTACTGTTTTATTGTTTCATAAATAAATAGAAAATGTATGTTTTTAATCAGAATCGGAATCGATATGTTCTACCCCACTTAAACTGTCATCGCTCGAAGAACTTGATGTTTCGGTCAACGTATCAACTTTTGGATCCAGTTGAACATATTTATCCTCATGTTCTCACGTTTTTCTCCAAACATCACGAAACATATCGATAGTAATGGACTCCGCTTCTTTTCTAAATAATTCTTCGACGGTTTTCAAGTTAAACGTAACATTTTGTGACGCAACTCTCCCTTTAATAATACCCCACAATAACTCTATTGGATTGAGTTCTGGGTGGTAGGGTGGTAAGCGGAGTACATTGTGTCCGTGATCTTCAAGGATATTATCCAGTACAAATTGTAAATGGTTTTGCTTGTTTTTTTTTTATAATATCATATAGCATACGTTTTGTGTTTTTTTCTGGATACAATAAATTATGCTTGTGCAACCAAGCTAACATGTCAGCATTTTTTGCACTGGACGTTGGCACTAGATCCGATACGATGTTGTGGTATGATGCATTATCAACTACTAAGACTGACTGTAGTGGTAAATTTGGAAGAAGTTTTTCTTTAATCCATTTCTGATAATTACTAGCATTCATATTATTGTGATAATCCCCTGTTTGCTTTTTTGCTGAATATATAAGCAAAGCACCTGGAATGAATCCTTCTTCAGAGCAGGCATGAACAATTACTAACATATCGCCCTTAGAAATTGGCACTTTACAGCCTTTGTTCGTTTCATCGGACCAAGATCGTGGCAAAGTATGCGAGCTGTGAATGTACGATTCATCTGTATATATTATAGGTCGGTGTTGCGATCTATATTCCTCTAGTTTAGAAAGGTATAAGGTTCTCTTTAATCTGATATGACTCTTTTCAATAAGGAGTTTTTTATTGTTTTGTGTCTTTCTCCATCTGAAACCTAATCTTCGAACAATTTTCCTTAATGTAGAAATGCAGCCCTTAAAATTGATACTGTCCTTCAACACTTCTAATAGCTTTTTCAATGTTGGAAATGCATGCTGAACGAGATGGAAGTTGTAGATAGTTCGCCTTATGACTTCTTCATCAAAACTATCTACCGTAGATTTTTTTGCCAACCTTGGGCGCTTTTTACCTGGTGTTGAGAAAGTAACTTTTACAGGTGACAATGATTTTGCTGGCGTTACTCCTTTACTTGAGGTAGATGGCTGTGATGTTGACATGTCAACAGCGGCCATAACTTGATTGCGTATTTCACAAGCAATACGTTGAACACTTCTCCGAGAAACACCAGTCGCCTCTGACGTGAGAGCGTACACATCTTTCATACGACCTCCTAAACCACTGTTATCGTGTATGTAAGAAATAGTTGAAAACGTTGTACACTATTTCACGAGATTGTCCTGTTAAAGTTTTACCGGAACCAATTCTTTCAAAAGACATTTTATTGTAACCTCAAAATATTATGTAAATAATAACACGCGTGTACGAATAGCGTATGAATGCAAAAAAAGAAGCACGCTGTTTTCACCTCAATTTATTGACTGTAGCATAAGTCAAACAATAACTGTCTCCTTCATACTCATAAGCTTGACTGCGCGCGAGAGAGACGGATAGATTTTTCATTATACGCATACAGTGTGACGTTACGCCGCGCACTTATTCAAAGTTACTACACAAGCGCAAAGTGTAAATGTGTTGTTCGTGCCAGCTTTAGATAACCGACCTGTACTAACAATGTTGCACTATTACATAGCAACATAAAAAACAACGTAACAGTCTTTAAACCTTAATAAATTTCCCCACTCGATTTTAAACCTTAATAAATTGAGGGTCAAGCTCAAAATCCATTGCAGAATTTGACACATTGTAGTGACCTGACGACCAGCTGTCTGTATGTTGCTTCAACACCAGCCCTCTTACGTACCCACGGTAGGGGCTCAGGCCTTCCTTACGGATGGTTAAGGAGGATGGGCCATGACCCTCCACGCTGGTCCAATGCGGATTGGAGGGTATTAACTACTATGTATGTTGCTTGGGTTTTGATAATTCATCACATATTATTTTCATACAAAAATATAATTTATTGCATGAACGTTGATAAACTATTACGCGTAACACAAAATATTACACAGCACGCGAGTTTACCTACTTCTTTTGTTTATGAATTAAACATAGACGAATATATATTACGACAGTACAATAAAAATTAGAAAAAATCATATTCACTTAAATTATTGGGTTATACTAAAACTAGTAGATCAAATTTTATTATTTATGTCAGTATTTAGTCCTGCAATATTGCTGGTATCTTACAAATAACCCTGTATAAGTACAGTCAATAGCATTCAGGTTATATAAATCTGTGAATATTCTTCACTTGATTATAAACCATTATGTTTTCAGGTTAGTTTAAAATCAACTGGTGAAATTTAACATATTGTGGCAACTTAACATGCAGCAGTACATATTTATTTATAATTTATTTGTTTTTATAATACATATAAGAATATCTAATCCCTAATTATATCGAAATGATAGTTTGGGCAGCCTTCTCATACAGGGAAACAGGAAGATATAACATACTTTCCAAAGAAGTTCATCACCCATCAAATGATTGGCCTTTATGAAGGTGCTTGACCTCCACAAGACCAACTTCTCTAACCATTGTGCCTTCGAGTTTCATGCTAATGATGACCACAAATCAAAATGTCAGTAAATAACAAAATATTCTCAATAGATACCGGTTAGAGTCATCCCCTCCTTTATCTGATCTTTAGCTTGTATAGCTAACGAATACACTGGTCTGCAGAATGTAATGACGTTGTCTTCATACGATTTCTGTTTGAAAGCATTTATAATTAGCTCCAACGTACAAATATCCGTATCTAAATTTTGACTGATTTTCTCTATATCTATAGTTGCTACTTTTGATTCAACTGTACTAGGAAAATGAGGTTGCGAGAGCTCTTTTATATTAACACCTATTTTTTTTGCAAATCTGTAAAAAAAGGATAAATATTTTAAAATTCCAATATTCACCATAGGATAAGGGGGTTTCAGTCGCACCTTAGGTACCCGAGAACCGAGACGGGAGTCAAACCCCCCTAACCATGAGCTACCCGAGATTTTATCGATTGTGTCAAATTTCTTGTGCACTTATGCTGCAGGGAGATTAATCCCAGTCAAGTGAGACGAATGAAACGAATTTACACCTTATATGTGAATAAGAGCATATTCATTTCAATATAGATTTGGGTTCGCTTCTGTTCTGTTTTTCGTTCTGCCCTACGAATATTTAAAAATCCAAACCCGAAGTCGAATTCACTCAGGTGTTCACTTCACTTCAAAAAGTAGCATCCGCTCAATCTTGAATTAGTAATAACGTTTTGTGACACAAGTGAAGTGAGTTTAGAATAGAATATCTGAGACACGTATAATCAATCAAATTTGCTTTATATTTGTATACAAAAAATGGAATCAACAGTATTTTTTTCATTAAACGACGTGAATACGGACATATGAGTGAATTCGAGTCCGGGTACGAATTTTTTTTTATCGTGACGAGCGATCTCATCACGATCTTGAGTGAATCCGAAAGCCTACCCTATTTTTCCGAAATAATATTCACAAAATGATTTTAACAAATTTACTTCAATCTCATCATTGTTTAATCAACGAATCATTATTCGATTCGAAATTTTCCGACTTTTTTTGAGAACAAATAGAATACTTTGACGTGCTCGGGCGTATTATATTCTCTTTGAAATAATACTAAACGGAAAGATAAACTAAATATATTTTGCTTTAAACTTATCAAAATTTAAACTTTTTTTTTTTAAAACGCTGTCCATCATATTCATGACGTCATTGTGATATGTACACAAAACAGATGCATAGAGTAGAAGATTTAAAAACAAGAAGAATGCCATCTAACGATTGATTACGAAATAAAAAGATGTAGTAAGTTAATAACAGCGTCATCTAGGAATCAGATTTATAATTATTAAGCATAACTTTATGATTAATCTCACAGCCGTCGCCACAGTGACGTCACACAATGGCGGGTCATGTTTCAAGTCACGTGACACAGATAATAAATTATGACTTAATTTTAAGATAACCGTGCAATTTTAAGACTCAAAATCGGAATATCGATGTTTATTCTGATGTAAATTTCAGTTATTGTGCAATTTGTTGACTTATATTTCACTACCGAAACTACCCTATTACCGACTATTGAGCCGCAATCCGCCGAGTAGCTCGGTGGCGTAGTGGATAAGCGCCGCGGCCCGCGATCGTAGTCGTTAAGCAACTTTCGCAAGGGTCGGTCACGGGATGGGTGACCAAAAAATTATTATCTCGAGCTACTCCGTGCTTCGGAAGGCACGTTAAGCCGTTGGTCCCGGCTGCATTTGCAGTCGTTAATACCCTCCAATCCGCACTGGGCCAGCGTGGAGGGTCATGGCCCATCCTCCTTAACCATCCATAAGGAAGGCCTGAGCCCCTGCAGTGGGGACGTAAAAGGGTTGGTGATGAGCCGCAATCGCGAGTCTTGCTCTTTATGCTCGACTAGTGAATACGCACCCAATGGTGACATAAGTATTCTGATGAATCAGCGCGTAGGTGTTGGGAGGTTCATGTTTTCAGACAAACAATTCTTAACGATGAAGATTTATATATAGGATATGTATTTCAATTCAGTATCCATCCACTTATACTTGTGAAAATCATTCAAATCATTGTGAATGTTAATTTTTTATATAATATAATCTCCTAAGACAGGAGACAGAACAATCAAAAATCTACTTACGCCTTAGCTATGGCGTAGCTCTCAGGATGTATGATAGTGGTATCCAATGGCTCATTTCCTCCTAATACTTTTAAGAATCCAGCACATTGTTGGAATGTTATTTTTCCAATGCCAGAAACTTTTAATATCTCTGCTCTATTTTTAAACCCATTTACCTCTTGGCGGTAGGTTAAAATTTTTTTTGCTCTTGCCTCATTTAGACCAGAGATTCGTCTGTAAGTCAAAAACTTTTTCTCAGAGATACAAGCAGCGCAAAGTTGTGGGAAATTTAACATTTTTTTGTTATCTTCTAGCGATATCGCTAATATTTCTAGCGATGTAGCACGAAAAATTTATCAATGTAAGTAAAAATTATTTGAAAACAAAAACATTGAAAAGAATACTTGTGACATGCAATACATGAATAAATGAACAATGATTTGAATAAAATGTTCAAAAAAAATTTCCTCAATTTAAAGAAAAAAATTTAACGAAAGCACTGTGAAAGCAAAATTGATGAAATACAATAAACTAATTTTAAACCATTATGTTTTCCTTGTATATTGATACATATACAAACGATAAAGTTACAAAAGCTACAAAATTGGCCTAAATTAAAAATTTACTTGAAACATAGTAACTTCAACACTTAATACCTTAACATAGCCTGTGATGCGGTGTTAATATCAACACCAACTAAACTAACTACTTTTTCCACTGTACAATCTAGTGCTGACTCCAACATTTTAGGTGGGATATCGTGTTGATACAGGCCAACTCCTAAATTTTTCGGATCCACCTAAAAACATTTACTTTCAACATTATTTTTGCTTTCTTTATTGAAATAAATTTTTATATAATTGATGAAAAAACCACTTACCTTTATAAGTTCTCCTAATGGATCCAATACTCTTCTGGCAATAGATAAAGCTGAAATTAGATTAGGATCCATATTGGGATGTTCCTTAAATACAAATTTGAAATAAGTATAAAGACAAAAAAAAAAAAAAACAATTGCAAGGTCGCCGAACAGGAAGAATTTTGTATGTTGACATTCGAGTTGACTGACAGATGTCATGAACATTTTTGGGTTACTTTACTATGGCAAAATAGGCTAGATGCATATGTGCGAGTGCAAAAGCAATGTCTTTGCGCATAAGTGAAAGAGATATGTAGTGCCGGGTAAATTCTTTCTGTTCGGCGACCATGCTATGGTTACAGTATTTCATGAGCGGTATACCTTCTGTGCTTCTTTGCTAATGGAATAAATGGAAGCCCCTTGTTCAGGAACTATGATTATTGGAATGTTATCTGATATATGATGGCCTTTTAACCACAATTCTGTTTCGCGACAGGCAGTTCCGTTACCTAAGCCTATTAATTCCACCCTGGAACAATTGGTTCCTAAGTAAATATACACAAAATATCGAGCTCTGTGCTAAAAAAAAACAAAAAAGAATCCCCTTCCCTTCATCCCTTGCGTCGCGCAGTCGGGTAAAAATATAACAGTTGTAATGTCATTTTTAAATTAGTTTGAATAATTTACTACATACTTTCCTAATTCTTGTTTTTACTATCTATACTAATGTTATAAAGAGGAAAGATTTGATTGTTTGTTTGCAACTTACCTATTTAAAAACTCTTTTACCTACGGGAAGCTATACCATATCCAGTAAACATACTATATTTTATCCCGAAAAACAACAAATAAAGGAATGAAAATGGTAGTGGAAGCTTGTATATGGCATTAAAATGTTACCATAGTAACAATTGTTTACTATTGAATTTGTCATTGTAATTATATTTGTGTCATGATATGAATCAATATCCAAAAACAGGTCCTTATGGACTACGCGGGCGAAGCAACTGATAGTAAGCTAGTTACATATAAAATGAGTGTACATACTTATAGTTTTCCAATAAATCTCTAAGCTGTTTTGCAGCTACGTCATTATGTCTAACTTGTCGTAGGTCTGGATATATTGTGCAAGCTTCTAACTTATCACCATTTGGATTGATGATACCCACCTGCAATTAACAATATCCTCATTCTTTTTTGTACATATACAAACATACAATATGATGTGCTAGACTAGATAGAAAAAATATTATATAATATGAAGATACTTTGTATTATAGATTTATACAAACCTTACAGCCTGCTTTAAAACCAGGATCTAAGCCAACTATTATTCTATTCTTCACAGGTTCAGTTAGAAGATATTTTTCTAAATTGTTAGTAAAGGTTCTGACTGCTTCTTTATTAGCTTGAGAGGTAAGGTCTGATCTCACTTGTCTTGACAGCCATGGCTTTATGAGACGATTGTGAGCATCACTAAGTCCTGCATGCACCCAATAATTGCTTTTCCAGAGGGATAGACAAAACCTGAAAAACAATGTCGGTTAAATTATAAAATACTAAATTAAAGACAATACAACAAAACTGTGTCGTAATATTTAGCTCCTAAAATTCAATGTCATATGAGTAAAAACACTAATTATAATACCTTTCTAACTTATTGTAAAACCAATCTGGAATAACAACTTTCACAGAGAGAATTTTCTCATCTTCTCCCCTGTTTAATGCTAAAGTTTGATGTGGTTTTATAAATTGAGCAGGACATTTCCAATCGAAATATAATTTGTAAGTTTCTGGATCAGACTTTGAATCTACCTTTGTGATTTTATCTTCATTCTTCCCTTTTGTAGTACTTTTAGTCCTACTACTTTGTATAGTGAATCTAGTTTCATCTTTTCTGAAATCAATAAGTTATGTAATTCATATATATGTTATTGACAATGTATAGAATAAGGATAGTCACTAATTTTCTTGTATGTCAATCATTGTTGCAAAATATTAAATATGTATTCTTTATGAAATCATTAATTTACAGGAACAACATAAGATTCTAAACTACAGTGGGTCCCACATATTTATAAATTGTCGAATAGACTTAGCTCTGCAGAATATGCCGTAATAGGTTAATTGACAAAGATACTGCCTTTGTCAATTAGATTAGTATACTTTGTTACTTTCATAGTGTAATGTCATATGGAATCCTATTGTGACAATTAGATATACAGTTTAAATATACTATTAAAAAAATACTTATTAATAAAGCTTATTATAAGGTATCCAATTACATAACAGATAAGAATTCTTGGACCGAAGATGATCCAGCAACTGGATAAGTGATTACTTCGAAACTCACTATATATCAAAACTTATCTTGTTTTCATTATTACTAAATGATTCTGTTATCATCATAAGACCAGTTTTTTTTTTCTATATCGACGCTGGAAAGGCAAAATGTATTAACCGCCATTATATGAATTGTCGAGTAGAGCGATTTGAAGTTTCAAATTTTGCAAAAAAAATCATTACTAATTAATTGCTTGAGCGTTTTCATTGAAAATCAAAATAGTTATTACGAATAACGCTTACTATGAAATGTAATAATAGAAAAAAATCTAGGTGTCTTCGTGTCCAAGATTTTGGAGTTAATACAATGCAATACATAATCTTGGTTAGGTAAAATTGACTTAAGTCAGTTGACCGTACTCACCGTGCTCAGGTAAAACATGTTTTAACGAACGAAAAGCTGCATAAAATGAGCTAGAAAAATGTGTTATATTCTGTATACTAATACGTCTAAGTTAAATGTTTTATCAGGCCCAGTCAAGTCAGACCATGAAAACTAAAGTGTCTTATCTTGCATTAAGCTAACGTTACCGCTAGGCTTTAAGTATTATCTCACAATAATTATCACTAATGGAAGTTACGGGTAAAACTAAATAACACAAAAATAGTTTTTTATAAGGACTTTTAATCACGAAATCAAGAATACAACTTTATGCATTAACAAAATATTAAAGCACAAACTTCTGAGATCAATCAGTCTTAAAAAAATGAAAAGGCAATAGTTTTAAGTATACCTAGAGATTAGATATCACAAGTTAATAGGTACTTGTACTTAGACTTATACTAATCAAATACAAAATTATTTATATATTTATCAGAAATTGAATACTAAATATAATATTATCGACTTATTTAATTATATTTGAAACAACATGCATGTGTTTGAAATAACGCACTTCCACATTTCCTGGAATATCATGCTCATGCGCAATATTTTCGGTTTCGGCCTCCAAATTATTAATTTCCTCAGAAATCTGAAATTAAACAAATAGATCAAAACGGTGTAAGAAAATCCAAGCCTTTCAACAAAAATACTTATAGACGAACACAATCGGTTAAAATAGTAAATGTTCCCACCTATTTACTTAAAACTTCTGTTACATGTACTTGATTTAATATTTCGACGCATTGTAGAATCGCGTAAGATTTTTCAGTCCGAATTTTCAATAAAATCGCATTCCTGAAAATAATTTGTGCACATTAGAATTAATATTTTTGCGCCAAAATACATATTTTATAGAAGTACGTATGATTACACAAATGTATTAATTAATTCAATGAATAACTTCAAAGAAAAATTGGAATCGAACCCACAACCTCGTTTACAGCAGTCGCATACACTTCTACTGTACTACCACGGCAATAAAAAAAGAAATAATAAGGTTGAAATAAATCAAATAATAATTCTTTTTTAGTAAATCAGTTGTTACTTTCTATAATTATATCGTCTATAAATATATCATACTAAAAAGGTAGGTTATGCTTTATAAAATAAATAAAATATTTAGTTAATAAAAGGTCAAATAGACTTACATCTTTTGTAGGACTTTTGATAATGACTGTCGGAAACAATGGTTTAAATATATTAACTTCGTTTGAATTGTTGAGATCAGATCCTGAAACACAAATGGAGCATTAGATAATCGTTATCATCTTTTGTTTAGGTACGTAAACAGTCCAAAGTAGGTAACGGATCAAATGACTTATTTATATACCTAACTACAAACTATGGACATTTAAACTATTAGTATATAAGACGTACCAGATTGTTGGTTCCCTCAAGACGTCCGGAATGCTCTACCATTATGTCTTCATTCTAATAAGAAAGAAAATAGGTATTTTAGTTAAGTAAGTACTCATTATACGAATCCAAATATTTTGGTAGCTTATTGTAAAACACCTATTAGTGCTTAGTTATTTACCTAATTGTATTAAAAATTTTACTGGGTTAATTAATTATAAAATATCCAATACCTAAATAATATACATACCTGTTCATTAGAATCGGGTTCAATGTCAAATCTTTTGTCTAACACTTTTTGGTAAAATTATTTACGAACAGCGTATTGCGACAGCAAGCGTGACCTCCCTCGACGACAGTGCACGGGTGGCTGAAGCGCCCGCACAACTCTCTCGGCCCTAACTAACAGCCGCGGTCTCTGTGAATAACAGTCTTGAACTACCGTCTAACCACCATAGTTTCGTATTTATCAGTCTTTTTTGGTAGGTTTAACTCACAAATGCAATAAATTTTGCATTAAGTAAATTAATTGAAGTGCTATAAACACATTAGAATAGCTTCAGGTAAAATTGTATTATCGACCATTTAAGTATTAAATGTTGTCGATAAAATTGTTTTAACGTCCAAATAATTGTAACATGCAGAAAAGTAAAATGTTTTAAACGACAAAAACATATATTTTATTTACAAGGAAATTGATTTATGTTTAGATTTTAAAATAATTGCCAATCTATAAAATGTTTTATTACGTTATTTTTTTGAAAATTGAAAAGGTAAAGAGTTTTAACAAAAATCTAGTTGTAAGCTTAAGCAGGTATAAATGACATATCAATAGTTTGTTACTATCATGTACGCTTTATGAACCAAAGTTAAAAAATGAATGGATTTAATACAAAAAAATATACGAAAAAGTCGAAAATCACCGGTGTATTAACCACCATGAAAGTGCTCAGATTAAGTCGCTACCTAGACTATTCGAAAGAGGAAAATCAGGCGATTCCAACGATATATATAACTCATATTCGACCAAAGTGGCGCTTAATACATTTTGCCTTTCCAGCGTCGATATATACAACGTGTCCCAAAATTCAACGATAAGCGGGCGCCAAGAGGTACCCTTGCTCATCTGTACTTATGGCAAAATAAGAAAAAAATTATATCTTATCTTTTTTATTATAAAATTAAATTCGAAAATCTTCGAAAACTTACACCTTTTATGATATTTTCAACTACCACGACCACAACTTCTCAATTATGTTCAATCTTTCTTTGGTATCGGATACCTAAGAAACACTACTATTCGCTACAACTCTTTCGTTGAATTTTGGGACACGTTGTATATAATGTATTGATCTGGCAATGACATGGTTTATGTGAATGTCATTACTCCTATTAGCGTTGGTGATTTTGCTTGTTCTTCTTATCAGTCAAAAGAAGTCCTGAATGAATGGTTGATAAAAAAAATTTTGGATGATTCAAAAGTACTTTTAAGAAGTTTATTTGAATAAAGAGTATTTTGACTTTGACAGCTATTAATCAAAAAAAGGAAAAAAAAATGAATCTAATATTTTTCAATAGTCTGACCACTAAAAAGTATTTCTTTTTTTACCTAGGAACAATTTCTATTTTGGTATTCTCTACAGTGCCTTTTTAATGCAGGGGAAATACAACTTCAACCTTAAACCCGGTGTTTCTAACTTCACATCCATCCTGAAAAGGACAAGATTAAGTGGGGTCGGCCTACCTAATAAAACCCACTTAAAGTAACCTCCTGGGGAAAAGACCAATTGTCTACAATACCTAGGGAATGTATAGTATACATCCAGGGAATGTATTAAACATTATGAATATTATTGTCCATTACCTACTTCCCATAGATAATATATACAATTCTTAGGGATTGTTTGGGGTACCTGTTATTCCACTAGCAATTTACACATTGACTGGCCTGAGCCCCTGCAATTGGGATGTTAAATCATCATCAGCCTGATAATTATATAGCTACTAGGTTATGAAGGTTGTATGTATACTTACATACTTCTTATTTGTTCAAGAACTCTTGTATCTTTATGTATTATATCAGCAACAATGTGTGTTAAATGAGCATCTACTTTATCTGCAGTGCTTAAATCTTCATTATCAGTGCAGAGCATATTTAGATTTATAGATTCACCATTTAATGCTTTAATTGCATAAGGTTCCAATCCTAAATTACGGGCTCTTTCTGCTAAAGACAAGGAATGTGATTTCAATGGTGCATACTGTAACAAGGGGATACAAACATAAGGGGATCTTATATAGAATAACAATAGGTCATGGGTTGAGTCCCATCTCAGCATTTTTCATTAAGAATATTTACCAGTTTTATTCATATCTAGATGAGGCTTTTATTATGAATACAATACATATTAATTATTATTTGAAACTGAAAATTTTTGTTTACTCAGCTATATAAGATTTGAAATATAAAAAAATACTTACTATTAAATCCAACTCTGATAAACTGCGAGCATTCAAGATACTTTTTTCAATATCATTTGTTATCTTTTTTGTTTTATTTAGTGTTTCAAGAACAGATTTAATTTTCTTTTTAAGAAAAGATACATTCTGATAACTATCATAAAGATTTTGGAGCCTGCAATAATGGTGAAATATTACTATTTATACTTTTGAAATAAAAAGTAATTAAATCACATTAAAAATAATACTAAAAATATCTCTTACTTATCTGGCATGAGGTTATCTACTACTGCCTTACGGTATCTAGCTATAAATGGTAGAGTACAACCTTCCTTTAGCAGATTTATAAAATTTTCAGCCAATATTTGTGGTATTTTCTCAGTGTAAGATAACATTTCAGCTTCATTCCAACATATATTAGCATCAAACACATCATTGGTGTCACCAGAATAATCACAATCTCTGGATTTTTCTGATGATTTACTGGTTTTTGTTTTTAGAGTATCTTCTTTCTTCAGTTTTGGTTTTGATTGTTTTGTGCATTCACTTTTCACCACTTTAGCTTTTTTAGCAGGCTCTTCCGTAATCTTAGACTTTTGTACAGGTGTTTTCCTTTTTCTACTGTTGCCTGCAGTAGATGCTTTTTCAGCTAACTTTATATCTGGATCCATCTTATTTTTTCGTTAGAATGGGTATTAATGGAAGATAAAAATAGCTTATTGCATAAGTTTTATACTTTGATATCCATCCGACCAAGCTTTATTTATTAGTAAATAAAATAGTTCTCGTCTCAAATTAAAACTTTGATGCACATTGCAAAATACAGAAGAATAAACAGACCGAGTTTACGAATTTGAATTTGACAACACAGATATGTCAAGTCAAAGATTTGACAATACTATAACGTCTGTAAATCGTTATAATGTCGTCCAAAAACATCGATATGTCTATATCGAAGAATACCAACATACCGAAACCCAATCTCTATTGCTAATTTTCACTGTGACATTATTTTCATTTTTTAGTATTAAAAATTTAATTTATGATGCCCACTGCTGAGGCCCCCCACTGATCTCCATTCAGTGGCTTCTCGCAACCCTAATAAGATCGTGAGATCACCTGGTGTATACCCGCTTAAAATCTTTCCGCCCCAACGACCATCGGTTGTTCTAGCTATGTATCCTGGCCACTACCACTTCTGCTGAGCAATTTTTTGAACCTTCTCAGTGACGTTGGCTCTCCTACGGATTTCTTCACTCCTAATATGATTTCGTAGAGAAACACCAAGCATTGCTGGAGCAAATGAGAGAGCAGCTCTTTTTCACTCCAAATGCTCAGTGAAATTAATTAAACCTGGGCCCTGCCTTGCAAATGGGTGTTTAAAGTAAAAATGAATCCTACCGGTTCCGTAGAAAGATACAAAGCCTGAATGGTTATCAAAGATTATTCACAACAACCTGGAGTATATTATGACAACCCTTTTAGCCCAGTGGTACGTCTGAGTACCGCACGAACGCTATTAGCAATCAGTGCTCGAGAAAACTATAAGTTATACCAGTTTAATACATATCAATAGTAAATGAAAAACCTTTATTAATTATAATTATAAGTTAAAACGCAGTATGTACAGACTAAAGCAAGCAACTCGATACTCGATACTCGGAGTATATGTATAGCCGAATTATTAAAAAGTCTGGATTCCAACACAGTGATGCTGATCCATGCCTTAATACGAGAGTTAGAGGAGTATCCAAAGTCTTTCTTGATCTTTATGTGGACGCTGGACTTGTGGAATTCAATATTAAAGTAGCAGGAGAAGAATTTATTAAAAAATTAACTACGCGATTCAAGATAACAACTAAACTAATTGGAATGGAAATGAACATGCGCAAAGACACAGGAATTATTTTATGTCAAAAGGCTTATACAAAGAAGGTTTTACAAAAATACGGCATGTCGAATATAAAACTCCACCAAAGCCGATTATCAAAAAAAAAAAAACATGGGGGAAGAAGATAATGCAAACTTCCCATATAAGTAAGCAGTGGGATCCTTAGCATATTTAGCAGCAGGTACAAGACCCGATCTTTCATATGGAGTGGGTGTAGTATCTCGTAATCAGGAGTCACCTACAAAGTAAGATATACTGCGTACTGCGGGTCAAGCGTATCTTTCTCTATTTAAAAGGTCTTACGGTTTTACTTACATATCAAAATCATCGTCATACTTAGTCTGTTACAGTAAAGTAAACTATGCTGGAGACCAGACAGGTGGAAGATTGATATCTGGTTCATGCGAGCTTATTTTCTGGAGCATCAATTAGTTGGAAAAGCCAATAACAATCCACTGTATCGATTTCTTCAACAGAAGCGAAAATCATAGCAGCCAGTGAAACAGCGCAGGAGATATTGTGGCTTAATCGCTTACAAAATTATTAAATTCAATTAAACTAAATTTAAACAGACAAACCTGTGCTAAACTTAAACAATGAGTCAGCTATGAAGCTTGCACATAACCCCCAATATACATATCGTAAGCGAAACATATTAAAACACTTATTTATTCGAGATGGTTGTGAGTGCAATATAAAGGCGATGTGCAGTATATACATAACAAAGCCAAATAAATTAAGAATGAAGTCCCTATGTCTAAGTTTTTGTATATGTTTTGCTTGGTTGGATATTGGTTGTTTATTAGAAGAGTTTCTAATATGTTTTGTCAGTAAATATTTTATTCGAATTCAATAGATATACTCATTACTTAAAAACGTTTATCATGAGTAATCGGTTATCTATTTTAAAACACATCCCTATATACGTCACTATTATATGACCGACTTGAATGCTCTATTTTGTCTTACTTTATGCACTTTGTGTTCTCCGCATAAAAGTAAAATAAATGTTTTTATTTCCAATATATTCACTCGAAAATAATTATATGTTGTGTATTTTACATTTGCTTACATGTGCTGTTTTTTAAAATGATACCAATAAAAAGTGAAAGTAGTGTCTTGACCAATTTAATACGGAAATTTTATTATGGAAATCTTGATATTAGCTTAGAGGTAGGTTGATAATGTGATTATTTGATTTATCTGTAGCATTATTTTATGTATATCAAATACAATCTTTATTAAAATATTAAGTTTTTTGAAATAAATTTGAAAGGTTAGAGATTCTGTTTGGTTCTTTGACACAGGTTAAGAAATGCAGCCATACTGCCTATTGTACAGTTACTAAACTCGTAGATCGGTCCAAAAAGCAAGGCCATAGATCATATTTTCTTCAGATATATTAAATTAGGCTTAAATTATACTCACAAGACAGATAATAATTTGAGCATTACTTTTTATTAATAAGCGAAATAAATAGTCCTTTAAAAAAAAGCTATTGGTCCTATGTTTAGATTTTAATTTATACTCGAAGCAATTAGAGTTCATTTATTTATTTCCTTTTTTACATGTTCAAATAAATTATGCTCGGCCTTTTTTTATACCATAATAGTTTATCTTACCGAGTTAATTTTGATTTATAAGGAACTGGATACTCATGGAAAAAATAAATCCATATCAGAGAACGCGAATAAAAAAGTCTATGAACTTGCAGAGTTAGAGATTGAAAGAAAAGAAAAAAAAAGGGTAGATAGGTATATCAGTACTAATAAGATGTCAAAAATTGTCCCCAGCATATACATAGGTACATGGCACGATACTCTCTAATTATTCATATTCTATAATTGAACATGTCACAGACCAGAGGTAAAATGATTTAATGCATCATTTTATTTCTCCTTGTCATTAGTATATGTATTATTTGCCCGTGTATGAATAATTAAGCTATTCAAGCTATAAAATAAACATGACACTGATATATATTATATATATAGATAATAACACGAGGGCTTCGATCGAAATCAGAATCGGAGTTTTTTTTTAGCTCCGGAGTTAAGTTTCGATGCTCTAAATTAAACCCAGGAGTTTCGGAGCTTCTGACTCATTTAGATTTTCGAATAAATTTATGGTAGAGCATAGGCACTAAAGTTAAATTGTCCGTTCTATTACTTACATAGTCTTTGACAGATTTTTTTAACAATTTGTAACCGTATATTTACTCTTTCTTTTTATGACACTTTATTTATTTATCTGATTAACGGTCAGTTGCACAATCGTCCATTAAGGTTTAATGATACCTTTAAGCTTTAATAAATGTCAAAATTGTATGGGTTTAGGCCGGGAAACATCTCTATATGGTGTTTTCAAACCAATAAAACAGCATAAAGTTCAATAAGAGTATGAACTGTGTGGCGATCACAGAAACAACATACAAACAAGAAAGTAATAAGACTAACCGTAACCCTAACCTTATTAATTATCACTAAACTTAAACTATACAAGTACGATTTAACGGTGGACCGCGCGAGCTGTCGTGACAGCAAGGGGAGCGCGGGAACTACAAATTACGCGTGCGCGCAGTAGTGGGCTATCCGGCAGATTCACTAGTCTAGCGTGGAATTCGTCGAGCCGGACCATTCGTCGGCGCACGGGCGAGTCCAGCTATGGATCACGGTAGCGTTGGGGTTTACGTTGACGGGACGATAACGGGGGCAAATTACGATTTGCTACATGGGTAATGTAAATTTATCTAATGAAAAATTTAATGGACGTTTGTGCAATTTGCTGTAAAACGTAAATCAATTAGAAATGTATTATGTATATATTGTGGGTTGACATTACAATATGAATTGAACTACGTTTCAGGATAAGGACATCAATGAATTGACATGGGATAGGCAAGAAGAATTCCTAAATGAGACTATCAATAATAATGTGACAAAAAAATATCCAATTAAAATCGATTTTATAAAGCTTTTCTTTAAAAAGTTAATAGGATATTTAGAATCGAAACAAGATGTGCACGACGATTTCTATAGGTATTTATGTAAGATTATGAACAGTGAAAATGAGACGTTTTATTACCGTCATTACATCATTGGTGATAATTATATGAATAGAATAATAATTAGAGAAACCAATAATTTAGTCCTCAATGGTACTACGGGAATGCGAACTTGGGAGGTAAGCAATCAGGTGTACTAACAAATTTACACCGCGACACCTATCAGTATACTTCTTTCTAATACATGATCAGAATAGGAATGCGGAGTGGGTGATGTCACGCCAGATCTAAGTTCTCAATATATACTACTACTACGGGAATTCGAATTTGGGAGTTAGGCGATCAAGCATTGTAATAAGTTTTCATTACGACCCCTGCCAAGCTTCTACGAATACTGTGAACTCCAATAGCAGGCTATCAGTCTTTTTAGAGGTTTTGTAAAATGATTTCTGAAGTAATTAAATCTGACGTGCATGTATAAAAATAGCAATGAATATCAAGGAAGCAAAAGAACTGTGTGAGCAAGCTTCGGTCCTACCTGCGCAGATACTTATCTGTATCTTGAAACCAAATCCTTTACAGTATCGACCAAAAGAACCAAGCACATCTACGTTTTTGCTTCCTTGAAATTCACAACTTTTTTTTGTACTTGGTCGATACTTAGTTTTCATGAATTGACGTTGCGACAAGACCTCCCCTGGTCTCGAAATCTCATTAGCAGGGCTTGCAAACAAACAGTTAGAAAAATAGCGATTAATAAATATTATTTAAAAGGTTTTTCGAAATAATATCGCGACTATGATAATCACTTGAAAGTTATGTTCCTAGCAAAAACTAAATTATGTATTAATTTTGTTAGTGTCACGTTTCCGACTGAAGCAAGGGTGCATGGCATGTCTGTAAATTTTAACAATAAGACTATCTGTCAATTTAACGTGACTTCGCAAATTTTACATAAAGGTCACTGCTTCCATATGTTAGCGTCGGAATCAGCACCGCACTACAAAGAGGTTCCCTACATCCAGTCTGTTTTCTATGTCAGCGGTATATTATGGTATCTTTATCGTGAATATGCATTCAACAGGATATGCATATTTACGATAATGAATCTCATTTACTTGATTATTACATTCGTTTATATAGTCGCTATAGTCTCTCCTATTTAGCGTTACCTTAAGATTTATTTTCTAAATTGATTTATGTTTCAATTATAGGCTGCATTGATGCTTGTTGATTGGGCACTAAGTAATGAAGACTTGTTTAGAAATAAACATATTTTAGAATTGGGATCAGGAGTTGGGTTCACAGGAGTTGCTATTGCAAAATTTTGCCAGCCGGAGACTGTTATAATGAGTGACTGTCACGATGAGGTTTTGAATGTAGCAGAAGAAAATATTAGTATCAATTTTCCGGGGTTACAACGTCAAGTCACTTCTTATGCAAAGATGTTCAAAAATACAAATGTAAATATAGGTAAGCAATTAATCTTTGTAAAAACGGTGTTTCTAATTATATATATATATATATATTATAGCCAACTCTTTATATATCTGTCCCGGTTGGGAAAAATCGTAGATTTAGGCCTCAAGGTTGTGCCCTTGGGGCATGTGATGCAAATCATACATCGATTCTTTGGTTAATCCTTCAAAATTACCACGCATTCGTGTTAATAATATTGTATAATATTAATGTAGTTATAATAATTATTGGTGTATGTATGCCTTCTACTATTATTAGGTAGTAATACTTATAATGTAAATATAATCTATCTTGTTGACAGGGGTCATGAATTTAGATTGGACCGACGTTTCCATTTTGCCTCACGAAATATGCCCAGAAATTATTGTCGGCGCTGATATAATATACGATCCTACGATATTAGAATCACTCAGTAAAGTATTCGAGAAGTTTTTCAATAAAAATAGGAATTTGGTAATTTATATAGCCGGAATCATTCGAAATGAAGAAACATTTAAACAGTTTTTAAACACAATTGGTAAATATGAGTGTATATAGATTTATATTTTCCATAATTTTGATATTTTGTGTAATATTTCGTCACTTTTTCAATTTCAGAGGCTGTTAATTTCAAGATAGAATATATTGAACATGTTAAAAATGTGTATATAGATTGGAATAGAAATATAAAAAAATATTTATTGAAAATAAAACTTTAACTTGAATACCTCATTTTATTTCTTGCTTAACATCTCTAACCAAAAGATAATTTCATTGTCAGTTAATATAATTAATAGGTATGTATATGTCACAATCCAATAATCTTTGATTATCGCTAAACTTACGTTCGGATCTGAGTGGCTCGGGTACAGGTTTCATGGTGTGGCGCATTTGTTTTATAATCTTTGCCGACCACTCTGTGGCAACGTAATCTATGGTATTTTGTAAGTGGCACTTCAACATCAAATAGTCTGAAAGTAAACTCATAACTGAACACGTTTATTTATTTTACCGATCCTTCGTATAAATAGAGTCAGATAGTAAACTTATCAATAAGTTAAATATCAACCTATATACTAATAAATAAAACACATAACATTTCAGTAAAGTGGTGACCCAATACAATAATCGGTAAAATGGTATGATAATGGAAAATAAATTGAATAAAAATTGATGCTTTGTTATTTTCCTTGCAATTTCTTAATATTTCCTCACTGAATAAATCTTCCAAATTTAAGAAAACTAAAATGTTTTAGATTAATCAGTATGAGCGAAATCCATTTGCTTCTGACAAAAATTCACTTCTGTAGTGATGCGCAATTACATAAAGTATATTGATTAAGTAAAAATTATCGATATGTATCGATGTATCAACATTTTTCGTTTTAGGATCACTTTTAATAAGTAACCAAATATCGGTTATTAAGTAATCCTAAAATATTCAATTTAAAGATTGATATTACATTACACATAAGGCAATGAATATAGTTATTTAGTATAAACCATATAAATACCACATAAATCTATTTTCAATGTTCATCTATTAATTACCCACTGTTCATTAGTGATAAGGTCTCTTTTTACCCTTAATAACGAACTATAAAAAAAGAGGATACATATCGATTATTTTATGAAATGTATCGGTATTTTGATAGCTGTATTTGGCTACCCTAATCATTTTTTAGGTTAGGAATTTGATTTGAATTGTTTACATTTTTTAATACTAGTTAAATACTTGAATTTGTAGAAATAATCAAGTACTTAGTTATTGATTTATGTAAACATTAATAAAAATTGCATTAAATGGCTGAAGAAAGTAATAGTACCGCGGCCGTAAATGAATTAAGTAGCCAAGTAGATGATAAACAATCGTCTAAAAATGTACAGCAGAACAAAAAGGAGGAATCCTGGGGATATGATTTGTATCCAGAAAGAAGAGGCACGTTTACGCCAAAACTAACGAATGTTCTTGTTGGTAAAGAAGGGAAAGAAAACCTAGACAAAATGAAATGTGAAAAAAACGTTTATCACTGTGTTAAGAATAGTAAGTATTTAACCTCAAATAAAATAATAAATAAATATTGGACAATATAACATATGTTGCTACGTTGTAAATGAAGTAAGTAAATCAAAGGTATTACGAAAATCTGAAACAACGAAGCTTTGCACAACACTCAGACCTGAGATAACAAAATAGCTTACCTGCGGCCTGTAACTGCTTGGCCTTAGAGGTCGGAAAAAATCAAAAGATTAAAGTTAATTATTTCATATGATGAATTATTTCATACAATGAATACCTAGTTAGACAGCAACTTAATTGTCTTCACAAGTTTGCCTTGTTTGTAGGATTTTGCAGTGTAGTATGGTGTGACTATATAAACTATTAGTTATATAATTTTTTGATTAAAGATTTGCTTAAGACTTAAGTTAAACATTCTTGACTATATCTTCTTTACTATCAAAAACAAAGGGATTGCAATTTATACTCCTAACTAAAATATCTTAAAAAATATTTTACATAATTGTTTTTCTAAAGCATAATTGATAAAGTTAAATTTCATACTCTTTTATATAAATTTTCATTACAGATCTATTTAATTGTATTCTCTTAGGTCCCATAGTGAAGGTGATGATGGCAGCCCTTAAAAGTTCTGGATGGTATGATTTATTTCAATTTATTAAAACTACTCCAGTTTCGTTCACCCCAATGTGTAATAAAGTAATAAATAACCAATGAAATTTTCAGTACCTTGTCTATCTTCATTTGATATAAATATAATGATACAGGAATTCTTTTTTAAACATTCATTTCATTTACAAAATAATACTAGTTATGAATAAATCCACAAATTGATTAGGTTAGCATTCTGTAGCTGTGACTGGCAAGTGCCATAAAGTTATTAAATTCACGCTTTAGGATTTTATGCTTTAATATTATTATGAATAGAGAAATTATGGTTTATAAAATATATGTATGTATAAATATAATTACAACAAACAAAAGTATGCTATGTTACATTATGCCTTTAAATTTTATGCAAATGGAAATGGAATCCAATAATACTTATACAGATTGTTTGTTCCAGTCCTATTGATATTAGGAGACATATATCATGTGAAGTTTGTGATTATTCAGTTAGTGGCGGTTATGATCCTCAACTAAATCAGGTAATTATTTGGTTTAGAACCTTATAATATAAATATTTTCAGCATATATCCTAAAAGAACTTTCCTTTAATAAAATATTTGTATATTCTTATAAATAGATATCATATTTTACAGTTGATACTTGTTGATCTATTAAATAAATAATACATAATTAATGTCTTCATATAATGAAATTCATATCTATATATTTATAATTATGTGTAGAAGAAATTTATCCATAAACTACAAGGAAGCAGAACTCCTTTATTCCCAAGTTTTAAAGTGTTATCTACATGGTTTCAAACCATTCCAGCAGACAGACTGTTTACCAACCAGACAACATATATAAATTTAATTTAAGTAATTTTCGCAAGGGCTTGTTATAGGTATTAATAGCTTGATTATGATTATTACACTTTATTCTGAGCAGAAAGAGCTGCATTCTTAGTTCTAGTGGATTTAGGCTCCTCGCAGATAATAGATAGAAAGATTGCAGCTGCTTGCTACATGTAATAGGCCAGTCCATTTTGCCATGTTTGCCTCGCTCATCAGAGAGAACCTTAACCCTGCTTAAGGCAATGGCAATTCTCAACTAACTGACTGAACAGGGGGGAGAGTGTTTCAATAAAATTCGTCTGTGATCTAACTTAAGTATTACATTGAACTCGAGTATGTTCAAATTGCGCTAAAACAAAATAGACGTGATACACAGTTTTTGGATTCTAAGATTTTTTTTCTCTTGATGAGTATTGTCAGATTTATTTACTTGGGCACATAGGGCCCCGCGTGGATGCGGGGTCCCTATAGTTGTGTATAACCTTCTAATGTCACCACATGGACATTTTTGAATGTTGCTTAGAGACTGGCTGCTCAGATGTAAATTTTTCTTGGCTGTTCTATTTATAGATTGTTGTCTGCCAAAATGTTTCAACAAGAAAAAGTATGGTGCAGGGCGTATTGACTCATGAGATGATCCACATGTTCGACTACTGCCGTAACGAGCTGGACTTTAAAAATATGGAGCATCTGGCTTGTACAGAGATCCGTGCGGCGAATCTTACACACTGCTCATTTGTTAGCGCGTGGTCTCAGGGCGACGCCTCCTGGACGAATATTAAGAAAACTCATCAGGTAATCTTTTATTTTATGTGTGTACTCTTTTACAGAAATGTGCAAAAGTGGACTTCATTACTGCTATATTTAATTAATGATCTTTAGGTGATATAGAGATATAAGTATTTAAGATGCTCAACCTAAATCACCAGTTAACTTGAATGATAAGTTCACATTGTCCCTTGCAAATGTCTTGAATATAAATAATCTATCTAACATTCTAGTCCTACTAATATTGCGCGACGGTGAATCAAAAAGTTCTTAGAAACACTTTAAAAATATGGTTTCATTTTTTCCACGTGATCTCCTAATTCATTACATTATGAATAAAAAAAAATCTAATATCTCGACATAACTTTGTCGTCGTCCTCAAATAGTGCCACGGTTATATTCCTTTAATTTGGGGATTAGGGTACAAACCACTAACAACATTATTAAAAACAAGGTTTAGTGTTAGATTACATTTATGCTGAGACTGACTTAGTGTTAGTCAAAATTCATATTATTAAACAGAGACTTAGCAAAGGTTAAAGGTTAGGAGGTTCTACGGGAGTAATATTTACTCCTGGTTTGTTTAAGCTCTGTATAATATGAATTTGGACTAATACTAAAATTGTAATTTTAGCGTAAATTTACTATGACGTTAAACTTTGTTTATTAATAGCACTGCAGGGGTTCAAAGTCAGCATTGCGGATTGCAGCCGTCCGATGAGCTGGATACAATATTCAATTTTATTGCAGGATTGCGTTAAGACAAAAGCTCTATATTCAGTTCTCGCCGTCCGACAAATTGGCAAAGAAGAAGCTGTTGATATCATTGAAAAAGTATTCCCGAAATGTTACGCCGATTTAGAGCCTATTGGGAGGCGGATAAGGAGAAACTCCGATGACATGATGAGGATATTCAAGGAAGCATCGTATTACGGTTACGAGTAGCTTTGGTGTGGTACAAATCAACAGCACGCCATACTACACAAATGTATCAAGCTGTTATGCTTGATTTTGAACCTTAATATATTGGTAACAGAGTTTATAATCTGTTTCCAAAATTAATCAAGTATGTGTTGTTGTGTAAATGACTATAGTATAGATGTTGTAGATATGATATTATATTAAATAAATACACTTTGTTGATTATTTAAAATAATGTCTTTTATTCCATTATTTTACATTATTCGCTAGTGGCTAAATCCATGATGAGAGTAATATTTTTAATACTGTCCTTTCATAGATTTATTGATAACTTATCCTAAATTAACGATGAATACCAATGTTCTAACTAAAAGATACATAGAGAACCAAAAGGCACGTTGTGTAAGTTCGTGATTAATTTTATGTTGCATCTATTTTTGCTTAATGCGTCTTATGCTAGATATTTTGCAAAAATATCGTCTTTTTTTAAGATTTATTATTATAATTTAATCGATAAGTTACTGTGTCAAAAATACGCCCTTTGAACCATTGATTTTTGTATCGAACGTGTTGCATTTTTTTCTCACTGCTGATTAATACAATTAGTGAATTATGTATGACAATGAATGTTCAGAAAATTATTTAATACTTCTATTTCGACGGCAAGGAAGTAAAAATAAATAATTATGAATCAATTTTTACGCTCAATCATTAATATATATTTTCCTCTATTTCAGACATAACCACTTTCATTGTCATTTTTATTAAACAAAAATCCAATAATAATAAGAGAATTTTAATTAATTAATACCGACAAAATATAATACTGCCGAAAATGTAATAGTGCAAATACTGTTATACTGTCGCTACTGAATGGCGACGGCGGGGTGTCCCGAGGGCATGCGCGGGGTGAGGGGGGTTCAAGTTCGAGTCAGGTGTTACGTTAACTCGACCGAGTAGTACTTATAAGATTCCATTCCATGAAAGTTATTGCTTATTACACAATCATTGGCTACGAAAATAGGGTAAGGAATATTTTATTAGGATCGCATATTTTATTTTCCATATCCAAAAACCGGCCCCGGTAAATATTTATCCGAATTAATAGCTGACATCAAAAAACATTATTATTGGACAATATATTCTGTGTTTATGTAATATAGATAAATATATGCAATTATTTAAATGTAGAAAAGACACTAGTCAAATTTGATCCTTTTCTAATTTTCCTTTTGATTTTTTAGGGTTACATTACATAGTGTGCATTCGTGTGTCCGTCCGTCCGTCCACCCGCCTGTCACACAGCACAGTATAATAATATCAAATTATTTTTGAGAACGGTAATAACATTTTTTTTACTTTCAAGTCAGATTTGATATTTAAGAAACTAGGGGACCTTTTGATATGATTTTAAAATGTTACTTGTATCTACGAAATCCTCGGTGCGGGAGGCCGACTTGCTCTCGGCTGATGTGTGATTCAGATAAGTTTTTGTCGGGCAATAGGATAACCAAAATATTCATAACAAAGCACTTTCTATAGTTTAGTTATATTACTTTAAACATGTTTATAATTGCAACGAGCTTATAACTTTGATTTTGATGCCAAAAAATCTAAAGGTAGGTATAATTGATTTGTGCACTATAAGCAATTTGTGCATTGATAAAATATGTATGTATCTTAACCGTGAAATAATTACAGTTTTCTATATCTAAAAATATGACTAGATAACATTATATATTACAAATTTTCAATAAATAACATAAATTCTCTTAGTTTGTCTTAGACATAATATAAATAACAACATTATCCTTAGATCATTATTCAAATGGACGTTTTAATGAACAATTTATTATAAGAATAACTTAATAATAATAAATAATGTACACTAAGCTATTATTCATCAGTGATAGCATTAGATTTGTGACGCTCCTGCCTTTAACAGTTTAAAACAAAATGTAAAATTTTAGACTAATCGCACACAGTGATTTTTTGTCATAGCTACTTATTGTTTTTGTCTATGGTTTCTGTAATCGCGCTGTCCTGTCATTAGTCACAAGTTAACGTTAACGTTGCTATTACTTGACGTTCAAATAGGCGCGCTATTGCAAAAGCACGTTGATATGAGACAAAAAGTCACCAGTGCGCGCGTAACCTAATACGTAGCTAATCAAATGAAAATGAAATGTACCAGGAGCCGTTAAGTGACTGTACTTAGTTGTAATTTTTGTTAGGCCATCTTAGATTCGAGGCTCTCTTAGGCCTGAGGTACCTATCGCTCTAAGGTAACCTTAGACACGAGGTCCTCTTACGCGCGAGATGCCTTATAGCAATGCCTAATGCCTCAATAAACGGAGAGCTCATGACGGATATGTGCAAGAGCTTTCTAAAACTTGATATTTCAGTATTTGGAAGAACTGTAGGGTATATCACTCAGTATCCAGTGCGTCTGGAATATCTGGTGGAGGTGGTGCAAAGTTAATTATTGAATTTAATTGTTTTAAAATTTGCTGAAAGCTTATTCGTCAGTACCCTTAGTACTATAACATACCTAAATATCAAGTTTTAGAAAGCTTTTGCACATTTCAGATCTCGTAGACTATAAGACCGCCTCTGCACTGGTCTTATTAATATGCCGCGTAATGGTATTGTAAGTATTACAGTAAATTGAATAGGCATGCTGTTTTTCATTATGGAAAATATTTTAAAGTAGTTACCAAGTCGGCAGACATTGTTTACGTCACATATTATGTCACGGGTAATATAATAATGCTTTGTGACTATACTTTGCACATATTTGCGCAAATACTGTTAGATCATGCGGTTCGTATGGGGTCTGTTTGAATATTTCGGCCTACAGTTAACTATATTTACATAAGCAAGAATAAATGTTGTCTATCGAAATTAGTAGGTAGTGTTTGCTCTCTCTGTAATCTGTAGCATTCACCGCTTAGCTATGGTCATGAAATAATTGTAATTCCGCTTCAATATAGTGGCACCTTAAGTATGAGAATTATAAGTAGGTTTTAATTCATCTTTAATGAGCCGTAGTCTCATGTAAAATATAATCCTTGTCGGATAATCATATGGGACTGAACCTTTGGTACTTTTGAATTTGTTTACAAACAACTTTGTAATTGCGTTTCAAAAACTATTACGCGATACGCTTAGTAAAATACTTACACAATGTTATTAATAGAAAAATTATATCTATATTAAGCAAACAATCACTTAGGAAATAGGGTACTAACTAAGCGATTATTGGAAAGTTTGTGATTTAACTATGTAGATATGTTAAAATTTACAGTTTGTTGAGAGAGTAGATGTATCATCCATTGATATGTTTAGTCTCAAAGTTTAGTTTAAGATATGCTGGATAAAAGTACATTTAAAAGGCACATTTTGGATAGATACTGAAATGTACTTTATTTTAAAATTTTGATATAGTTAAGGATAAAGGAGAAATGTTTTTTTCTTTAAAATAGGAGCTTTCCAGTTTCATTTTACCTATATATTGTCTTTGGTCTCACAGTTCGATGTGCATCGTGGTCATGGGTTAGGAATTTCAACGAATTTAAGTACAGTTTACATTAAATTAGGTACACGTAATCTCACTCAAAGTACCTACAAACGTTATTGTTATCAAATTGAATATTAAAAACAATATGGGGTCAAACAACTATGCGTAAGATCGACTAGCAAATTGTCTAATATTTACAATAATCACAATTATCTAAGTTAATATTGTCTGAGGCACTCAAATCACATATCAAGCGATATTTTCTTAAGATTAAGTGTCACTTTCACATAACGTTTTTTAAATGTCGTTCATTTATTTTGAGCCGCTTCGCTTAGATACGTGGTCCAATAAATAATGTTGAAAAGACAGAAGCACAGTGGGAAGAGTATTAGGGCGATCCTGTCCAGAGCCCCATGTTGGGCGCCACAAAACATAACGCCACGGTCCACCACAGCCGCTACTCTCGCCATGAAATTGGCCGGCCTGTCACCCGGAGGCATCGTGTCGAATATCGGTGAATCCTAATAATAAAATAATAGATGCAATTAAATATTATTAACTTAATTGATTAAATGTATTCTAATACACACGGCTGCAAGTCAGTTTAGCACAATATTTAAAATTTATGCAATTAATTTTGAAATCTACTTTCAATGTATTAAGGTTCAAATTAAGTGGAGAAATTTTAAAGTTTTGTATAACCTGACGTGCTGTTCACCGACACCGACTAACTACTAAATACCTACACGTAGCTAACATGCCGTCAAGCTGTGCAAATCATCTCAATATATTTTTACAAATTTTAAAGGTAAAGTGTATTAATCTTCATATAACATACACTTTAAATTATACTTATAAGTATTTCAAAAAAGAAAAATATTCTAAAATATATATCTAATTTTACTTTACTTCATTATATTTATCAAGCGTATGTTGAAGAATTATGCCAATTGCTAAAATAATTATTTACCTAACTATTAGAAAGAGAGAGAGAGAGTAAAATTGCTGTGTACCAAAATAATTTAAATTCTTTAATTTATTCGATTACCTAAAATGCCAATTGCGATGCGTGTTTGTTATAATACAAGAGCTCATGACAAAAATGTGCAAACGTTTTGTAATGGTTGATACTTGAGTATGTGGAAATTCTTTTTTTTTATCGTCGCGGCCGGTGGTGGGTGGGATACTTCAACATTCCATCTGCACGGACACACTCGAAGGCTTGTCAAAACGCGGATATCATACCCATTACATGCCCTCGAGTATGTGGAAGTCCTAAGACTTACATTACTCAGTACTAATAGTGCGGAGATTACGTGCTTAGAACACCTGACCACGCGATGGCATATTGAAAAGTATTTAAAATGGCAAAATGCATTGAAAGATTTTCTTCATAGTTAATAATTTGTTCTGAATATAAAATAATACTTAGATTAAGCTATGTGGGTCGCATAACCTTATCACAAAAACCAGCTATGAAAAATTATCATAAAAACCGGCTCGGAAAACGAGTTTCTAATGATTAATTTTTTTTGCTAACCGTTGAAAAAATAAAATTACTAAATTATTATTGCAATTTAAGAATAAATATTCAGATTAAATCAGTAATTGTGGATTAAATCAGTAATTGCTACAAAGCTTTGTTTAGCATCATCGTTAGCGTCGCCACACACTATTGCAGAACCTGATCTCCGTACTGGGTAGATATCATGATGTGATATCTAAATATCCTTTATACTTCCATATACCAAATATCAACTATTACAAATTCTTACACATTTTTCTCACGAGCTCCCAGTATAAAACGATCTATACGACCCTATAGTACTATTCTGTAAAAAATCTGCGTCATACTCAACGTTGAACACAGCGCTCAACATTGAGTTCGACGTTGATTTTATTACATAATAGCAAAGGAGGCCATTCTACATGCGAATTACTTCTTACCTACTTTTAGTGTAAACATTACCAATACTGCTTTAGCACTAGCCACACTCAGTGCAATGTCAGTTTGAATCTCTTTACCTTGCTGACTGATCTCGATTCACATCCGATCTTATTTTGTCTCCAATTCCTTTTCCCCGAGTGGGATGACTAAAAATTTGTGGCCTAAATTTAATGATTGCTCCACTCGTAATGGATTAAATCTATTTTTATCGTAATGGTTTTATATTTACGTGCATAAAACCGTACATTTAGTACTTCATTTGCTGAAGCTAAAGTTGGTCATCATATTATTTGCACCTACCCTTTGAATTGTCTGGTGGGAGAATTGCTGTTTGAGGCCCTCATCTTCGACGCTCAGTTGCGGAGAGAAGACACCACCTTGAGGCGTACCTGTTACGGGTGTGCTCAATCTCTGTGAATATTATAAATATTTATTAGCAAAAAAAAAAAACCCAGAACAGGTTAGACAAAATTTGTGCCCCGATAGAAATACATCTGTTTGATTCTAATGTATGAAAAAAGATTCGACAGTAACATAAATATCTTTCTGCTTTTAGAAATGTGTGTATAACTTTATTTACGCTTATTAAACCTGTCCTCGAACGAAAATACAGTATCAGGTTCTCCGTTGTATCATAAATTAATGAAAAATTCGTTCCTTTGTAGTCGTATTAGCATTTCCCTAATAGACAAAATTTAGTTTTGTGGAGAAATAAAAGAATCCTAGTGTGCGACCGCTCAACTCTCTAGTCATGATTATAGCCATAGGGTACGATTTTCGTGATATTATATCGATATATCGTTTCATGTTATTCCTTGAAATGTCTCTTGGTGGATAAATTTGGGATAAATGACCAAGTTGGTAACACTCCTATAAAAACCATAATCATAATTCTTTATCGTTGGTTCGTCGTTAGTAAAGAACATGTCAAAGTAGTAAAATGAAATGAAAATCAAATAAAAATTATTTATTCAGTCGAGGCTGTTACAAGCGCTTATGAAAGTCGAGATTTACGCCGTCGGTTCATAAATCTACGGCGGGACACCTTGTACCGAGAAGAAGCGGCAAGAAACTCGGGAAGGGCTGCTTTTTTCTCCCTGTTTTATTTAATACAGAGCGTCAAGATTGAAAAATGACTCATTAAAATATGAAGTCACTTTACATTACAATATTAATAACGAAACGAAATTTTGCCATAACATCGATAAGATGTCGTATGTTATGACTAGAATTGTGGTTAGAGAGTTATATAGGCGATCGCACTGCAGGTGTCGTATTAATTCGTGCGAGCAATCAACAACTGATTTCTTAATTTCTTATATTATAAAAAAGAAAGATTATTATTGTTTGTTGATGTGTATTGAATAAGCTCTGAAACCACTGGACCTATTTCAAAATTTTTTTCACCTGCGGGAAGTTTCACAAGTCTGTATTACTTAATAATTATTTAGTATGTAATAAAAATATTACTTATTTTTTTATTCTTTATCAACGAAAATGCAATCAAGAAGATGCAAGATCACCTGCGTATGGTTAATGTGTAACGGCGGAGGTGCCAACTGCGCCGCGGACGCAGCCCTGCGTAAGTCCTGCCGTCGTCGGCTCCAGTTCTTGTCGTACCGGATGCCGAATAACACCACAAAGTACTCCAACAGTGCCAGGAACACGAATATCGTACATGAGATCAGCCATACTTCGATGCACTTGAGCTCTAACGCATCTGGAGAGTTTGTGCTGAGAGAAAATAAATTTTGATTGATTGATATGAATTTTTTTTTAAATTTAATAGGGTTCACTTGCGTAAGTCTTGCCACAACTGTAAAACTACGATATTTAATCAACTTCTACATTCAGTTAGAAGTTGAAGTATGTCTGTGCTCTTCCCACAAATAAATGGTCGTGGTGCACAAGCGGCTGCAAATGATGATTGATGATGATGCAGGAAATGTTGACACATGTAATTATCTGTAAAGGGCGTAGTTTTACAGTTATAATTCGGGACTTTTCATTATCAACATTCATTTAGAAATGAACCACTGTCGATATTTAAGTTTTAAATATAGTGAAAATTCAAAATTTATTTGGTTAAACTACAATGTAATTTTACCTGACTGTGTCAAACATCGTAACTAGAGATAGTAGCGTGGTGACCAGAAGCACCATGCGGCCGGGAACAATCTCCGGGATGACACAAAAACTGCCCCAAGATATGATGACGAACAAGGAAGACGGCAGGTAGCTCTCCAAGAGATAGCTCCGGAGCTCTCTGGACAGCTTTATCTGGAGACGAGCTGCTGAATGTTCGCCTGAAACATAAGTTCATATCATACTGTTTTGGAATTTAAAGCGAACACCTAACTACTTTCTATATAAATGGTGACAGTCCTCAAAGTGTAAAAGAACAAGCGTTTTATAATCTCGGAAGAAATTCGAACCGTATGAAATTTGTAATAAGATAGATATCTACTCGGTAAAAATAATGTTCTTGTTTTCTACGCTTATGAGGACCTTTACAAATACTCTGTAAGCGTGCCAAAATTTAATAAAAATATATAAAACCAAGATTTACGAAAAACTAACAAAAACTTTAAAAATCCAATCGTCTCAAATGCTCGAGAAGAAATTCAAATAAGTGCTCAGTAACTTGGTTGGAAGCTGTAAGTGAAAGATGTATGCATTGAATACCCTTTTGAGCGTTTGGTATTTGAATTTTTAAGCATTTTTATATAATATAAATATATATCATTGTGTAGATACATTTTACAAAAATAATAATCTATAAGTTTTCCATCTAAGATATGAACTTCAAATGACTAAGTGATACGGTAAAATATTTCATCGTATACTTATGTGTTTTTTCAAGCTACTCATTTAATTACTAAATAATAGTGATTATGACATTCCTATCCAAAACCAAAAAAATAATTACCAATTTTAACAACATGAATTGTTTGGCACGGGAGTTAGTATATAAGGCCACACGAGAATATAATTGTTCCTGATAGTAGATTTAAAAGAATCTTAGCTTGTCAATAAAATGGTAAAGATATAAACGTTACCATCAACTGTGGTGGTTCAGGCTGAAGTTTATTGGGCAATCGAAAATAATTATATCAGATAAATGTAATTTTTAACGTATATTTTTATAACTATTTTAAAAGCGCCGACTTTCATTGCATTCTACTCGTATTTCCCTGACTGAGCAGAATATAATAGAAAATTCTTAACGGTTAACATTACACGAATCTTCCAAACAAAGTATAAGATATTTTGCTCAAAGTTCTGTCTAACTTCCGGGCCAAACAAGCGGCATGCCAGCGATCAGCAACAATGCTAAGCGTTAGTGATACACAGTTAGTACGGGCGCAAACCTAAGCGCAAAGCAATAAATATACATTTACCTTCACCAAAATTGCGAATATGATTACTTTTGTCGGTGGCGAAGGTGACCACGTATTTCGGTAGACGGTACTGGTTCCTATGCTCTCCGACTAGACCGAGTCCCAACCAAGGCGCCACTTCACGCCATTCGAACCGCACATCTTGCGTTGTGTACTTGTCTAAAAAAAGAAACCGTTAAAAGTTATTATGACGGAGTGGATAATAAAATTGGTTATAAAGCAGATGGTCGGTCCGGTTAAACTGTCATTAATGTCTCAAGGATTGGAGTTGTTTCAATATTAATAACTCATTTTAATTATCTATACTTTAGGAGTTGAGGCATTGAAGGGTATATATGAATATTGTCCGACAATTAGGCGAGATGTCGAATGAGACCAAGTGAGTTTGTTATACTTATTATGGAAGCTTTTTGTGGGCCATGCCCACAACACTAATGAATTTGTATCATTACATTTCTACGGTTTAAAGTTTAATCCTTCGTCCAAACACACACTGTCCAAACTCTTGGCCTGAGTGTCATGCACTATATTGATTAGAGAGTTACAAATTACTCGCACTTGACCGATATTCGGATAACTAACACTACCAGCTTGATCCGCGCCAATTGCCTGCATGTGTAAACAATTACTTTGTCTATTGGTGGAAATCATATGTAAGACTTAAAGACCAATGAAGGTAATAACTAACTAAAATAATGTGAGTGAGTAAATTTGACGGTAATGAAATTTGCATTAAAGTAAAATGTGAAGTCTGCTAACGTATCTATAAGGTAGGTACTGAGTGGTAAGTATAAGTTTTACGCTAACGCGTTCACTAGTGAGCGCGTTAAGAATTTGTATGGCGATTTGTAGTTCTTGGTAGTTACCGCTAGGGGCGCTGTACCAGATTCCATAGGTACTAAAATCTTAACGCGCTCACGATCGACAGTGAACGTAAACGTCGTAAAAACTTACACCAAGCGCTCTATAATATTAAGCAATATACTCCTATAACAATCTCATAATTATTAGCAATATTTAATTTCTCAAATCTACAAATTATATAAAGTAAAAATCTTCACTTTTTTAAATTCATTTATTGTCCTGCAAAAAATAGTTTTATCGTTATTATACTAGTACCTAATCACCTGGTATGTATTTTCAATAACCAAGAGATTTGCGATGCAATGTCTGCTAATATTAAATTAATTTAAATAAACAAATATGAAGGCAAAATATTGAAAGAAACTTAAAAGATAAGCAGAATAAATTATAGATATATAAAGACTCTAGTAAAAATCTAACTGTTTTCGAAAGTGATATTTGCAGGTTTTAGAAGTAAACTAAAAATATCATGGTAACGTTAATAAAGTTATGTTATAAAGGTGACTTTCTGGTGTACACGTAATAGGCCCTTTAAAGTTTATTAATTAATCGCTTATTGGGCTTAATCACTTAAACTTAATATAATAGAATCTACCCTCGTAGATGATTAATAGCTAACGGAAGGGTAAAATGCAAATCATCGTGCTAAAATAGCAAATTAACAGGGGTTTAAATACGTAAACGATAACTAATTTGAGACAGCGTTTATTGTAAGTTTTCTTCGACAAATTCAAACTTGACATCGTTCAATTCTCGATCAAGACGAGAATGAAACCTTAGTAGGATGACCTATTAACCTGTATGTAATGGTGTGAAAGGCTATTTTTTTTTCTTTTACATAAAAGACTGCTAGATTTCTGTTTTCAACTTCCAAACTTCATAATTGAGATGCTCTATTGAATTTTTAGCTGGAGTAAAAAGTATAGATTACCCACGGGTCGTTTGTCGGATACCTACGACAGTTCGATGTCATTATCTTCACTTCTGTTAAAAAAACAGCTTCGAATGCGACTTCAGACACAACGCTGTCATATCACATCCATTCCAAAAGGTAATAATGGTTTTATTTAATTGAAGCTCTATGCTATCACAGCACAGCGTTGTGCTTGAAGGCAATTTCGAGGTTCTTTCAGCAGAATTTCATAGCTGGCATTAAAATTTGGAATGAAGATTCCTTAGGGAGTGTTGAGGCGCACTTGAGTTGAGAGAGGATTTTTGAAAATTCCACCCCCAAGTGGCTAAATTAAGGGATGAAAGTGCTTGGAGTTTAAAATTTTGCATGCGGGTTCTTTTTAGAACGTAGGTGCTCACTAAGATGGGATTTTACGAAATTTGATCCCTAAGGGGGTAAATTAGGGGATGAAAGTTTTTATGGAATTTTCTCATTTGTGTACTTAAAACTAGACCACGCGAGCGAAGTCGCGGGCAAAAGCTAGTAATAATATACTTACAACTACTAAAGTCTATATCGCAATTTTGTACATCTAGCGGGTATAGAACGAAGTCCATCTCGCACTTGATTGTGATTGTAGCACTGGAAATAATAAATAATTTGAATCAAATTACCCTGTGAATAGAGTTTTTAATTCATTGAATCACATCGTTAATTCTTATATCAAATGTAGTTTAGATCTGTGGAAAAATGTATTCTTACGTCGTTTACATTATAAATAATTGTACTATAGTTGAGTTGCCAAAATATACCGTCGCCATTTCACAGAAATTAGACGATCTCTGAATTGGTCTATTTAGTTTTATAAATAGATAATAATTGTCTCAAGATTTAGATTTAGAGATTAACTTTGATAATTTATTAACGTTATTGTATAATATCTTCGTTTGAGATTAAGAAAATAGTTTTTTCAATAAAAAGTTTCTAATTTTTTTTTAAAGTACGCTGATACCAAAAAGTTTCCATTGTACGATTGCTTAAAAACTATCAATAGTCAAGTTAACGAAAAAAGACGAACCCAATACTGACTGAGACGGTGCCGTTGGAGTATAGCCTCAAGGATGCCATCTCTTGCAGCACCGATAAGATCTTCATGGTCTGAAGTTGCCATATGTATAAGTCTGGGGTCCAGATCAGCTGTCGATACTCCCACGGAAGGTCGATGAAGGGCGAGTTCTTCGGCACGTGGAGTCTCTTCTCCTCCCATGATACTTGTAGGAATACGTCGAGTGTTATCTCCTTTAAAAAGTAACAAGGGGTACATTAGTTATTTTTTTTCAAATCATATATGCAGTGAAATAAATAATAAAAAAATGTATGTAAGTGCCTTGTGGCACGCGGTCCCATCTGCCTACTCTGCCAAAGATACGGAGTGAAGATATAGATAGATATAAATCATGAGAATTTAAATCTGTCTATATTCCCCATGATTGTGAAATACCTACATAATTTTGTGAGTTCAAACTCAAAATTTACCATTTTGCGGTTACCCGATGATAATGATGATATCTATAAGAAATGTTTATCATTTTCATCACTGAATAGTTTTCTCATCTAAATATTTTGATTGTTCGACTAAAACATGAAAAGTACCTATGGATTTTACGTAACAGGTCATGAAAAAAGACTTCTGGTATTTTTTGTATATAACTTATTTTACCGTATAAAAAAGAGTATAAAACGTTTGGTTAGGTTAGAATTGTGATCGTTACGTGCATTTGATTTTAAACTCAACATTACAACTCGTATTCGTAGTGTTAGTACATAAGTTAGATTATTGCTTGATGATCATCACTAATCTTGCATCTTGTCCACACGAGGCTATTGATTTTGAGATTTATAACGGAATGAATTTTAGTCATGATTAGTAATTCAAAGATTCACATCTGAACTCTTAAAAATACGACCTATATTTAAACTCTAAGAACAATCGAATTAATTTCTTAAAGAGAAATTATAACAATAGAGATACTAACTTATTGTCAAGGTAAATCTTATAATTACTATGTTGAGTTTTTAATGAAATATATATTACCTAATTATGAACAAATGTCAACATGCAATAGAAATATTAGTACTCGTGCTTTGTTAAAAATTCATATTAAAGTTTAATAATGTGTAAATAAGTAGGTAAGTAGTAATAAACATAATTGTCATCACATCAACAGCCCTTTTACGCCCCCACTGCAGGGGCTCAGGCCTTCCTTATGGATGGTTAAGGAGGATGGGCCATGACCCTCCACGCTGGTCCAATGCAGATTGGAGGGTATTAACAACTGCAAATGCAGCCGGGACCAACGGCTTAACGTGCCTTCCGAAGCACGGAGTAGTTCGAGATAATAATTTTTTGGTCACCCATCCCGTGACCGACCCTTGCGAAAGTTGCTTAACGACAACGATCGCGGGCCGCGGCGCTTATCCACTAAGCCACCGAGCTACTCATAATTGAATTGAATATAAACATATTTGTATACGAATCATATCAGATTGACTGATATATTTTAGATAAAACTTTTTAATAAAAGTTATAATAAGGGTTTTATCTATACTAATATTAGAATTCGTTTTTCCTATGGGAAACTTTATCTTACGCGAGTGACATAGGCTATAATTTACGTGGGCAAAGTTGCAGAAACTTTAGTCCTTACAGGCTACTCGGATCCGACGCGAGTCTCGACGACGAGTCGCCATGGAATATTTCTCAAACAATTCAATTCTTTATTGCAGTCATGTGGTAATACCGATATTCTACACAAATACAGCACCATAACATGAACCCTGTCAGAGTACAGCAACATCCAAATCACTCTATAGTATACTTGTAAAACAAAATCGCTTTCTCTGTCCTTTGGATTTTGATGCGGTTTTTTTATAGATAGGGTGGTTCAAAAGGAAGGTTTTTATGTATAATACAAGACCACGCGGGCGAAGCCTCCGGCGGAAAGCTAGTAAAATATATTTCAATTTACCATTTAATGTCAATTGTATTTTTTTGTTATATAATAATAATGAATCTTATTCTTAATACAAAATGCTTAAAAAATCCACTTGGTCCCTGGCACCCTGAGATGGGAATCGACGACCTATCGCTGATTTCAAAATTTTCACAAGTTTTTTTTTAAATCGGTACATGAAGTCAAAATAGATATGTCATCTGCAAATAATATACAAGAATTATTTAATATGGTTTTGGGGAAGTTATTATTATAAACAAAACACATTTGTTTTACGATTCGCGTAATTACTTCATGTGACTGAAAACTTGTCAGATTTGTGTATTTGACACTAAATTTCCTCAGCACTTTGCCCGCGTGGTCCCTAGGGAGCTGTTTATTTGTGTCGTGGACCAATCATTGAATTAGGCCGATCGAGATCTGCGAGGCATACAGCGATATTACAATTTCTTGATTTGGCCACCTATCATCCGCCATATCGTTTAATGCTTATTTACATTTTAGAAACACGATGATATTTGTTCGGAACATGTTAAAAATACAAGAAAAGTCCATTATTTTAGTTCAGGCGTTCGGCCTCAATTTGTTTTCTAGGCCAATGTCTCGTCATGTCGTGTTTCAGTGTTGTCATTCACTTTGCTTTTATTCTCTGGAATTGTGAGTTGACGTGATTACTATGGTCTAGCAATTTTCTAAATAATTTAATCACAATATTAAAAAGTTTTTATCCCAGTTAACTAACATATCGAAGTTGATTGATTAAAGAAAAGTTTCACACATTTTATTTATCAAAGAAATTTTTCACTTTACTTCCGTGCAAATCTGAGATTCCATGTAAAACATATATACATACATATACGTTAATAATATTGTTTCTGGATGTAAACAAGAGTTTTAGCTACACTTTTTTTCAAAAAATTAAATTAGCCCGCAATAGGTTTTATTCAATAGTATTAACAGTAAAATTTGTTAGTATTCTACGAGATGTTATATTAAAACGGACACTGATACATTTCATTTTACTAAGTCTATTAACATTTATCTACTGAAGTTTTTACATGAGATTTGCTTCTTTTACGTTTCAAGTTTCCTTTGTAAATTTGTCAGGAAGATTCATGTTACTGGTGACTCCAAAGGCGTTTAAATTTTTTTTAATCTATGCTTATGAAGAGAAAAGATTTCATTTTTTGTGGGTTTGTTTGTCGAACAGGCTCCGAAACTATTGGACTGATTTTAAAAATTCTCTCAGCTACGGGAATCTACATCATACGCGGTAAATATAGGCTACAATTTACATGGGCAAGGTCAAGGGAATACAGCTAGTATTAGATAAAGACATCAATACACATATACGCATCTTCATCATTATCAAATTCATAAAATTATTAGGGCTACAATTTAAGCGGGTGAAGTTACGGGAAAACAGTTAGTATTAGAAACATTAAGCATCACCAGTGTGGTGGGTTATAGCCCATTCTCCTTAATCACCCATAAGTAGGCTTACCATACGTCCCGGTTTGACCGGGATAGTCCCGGTTTGAGATCCCTGTCCCGGCGTCCCGGCCGGTCTGCATTAGCGTCCCGGTCAAACTTGAACAACACCGATACCCCGGCCGATCGTTCCCCCGCGCCATTCACCCATTTTCACAAGTAGCATATTGAGAGGCCAAATTTAAAAAAAAATGTCTAATTTGCTATGTGTCTACCCGGTTCTTCAGAGCCAGTGGAAAGAATTTTTTCACAGATGAAAAAAATGTGGTCTGACGATCGGGGGAGGATGGAAGAATGCGTTGTGGAAGCCTTGCTTACGTGCAAACTCAACTTGAACATGTCATGCAGTGAATTTTATGACAAAATTAAGCACGACAGAACGATTCTGAAGAAAGTGCACTCTAGTGAAAAATATAAAGCTAGCGTGGGTGAATAATAAAACCGGGCAAATTTTCAGTGTTATTTGTATTAATTGTACTTTGTCTCTTTATCTTTTTCATAAAAAATATATTCATATTTATTAATATGTTTTCAATTCATAACAATTTTGATTGTATTTCAAATATGAAAAACACAAATTAAGCGAAAAGCAAAATGAAAATGAGCCTCTTTCTCTTCTGCGTCCCGGTTTGGCTCTTCGTAATTATGGTAAGCCTACCCATAAGGAAGGCCTGAGCCCCTGCAGTGGGGACGTATAAAGGGCTGCTGATGATGAGAGACATCAATAATACATATAGACATCTTTGATTCCAGGTAAAATTAAAAGTAACTAATATAAAATTAATTAGATACCTACATACCCCTTTGTTCTCATCGACGCCAGACACACGATTGACGTTTACGCCGATGTATACTGTAGTGTTTTTTCCTGGAAAAATATTAAAATATAAATTTAATCTTCAAATGAACCGACTAAAATAAAATATGAATTTAAAAAAATATTAGATTCCTGAGGGTTCATAATTCTCGTTAGGATATATCTTCTTTTAAATTGGAGTAGAAGCTACAAATGTTGCCTAGTAAGTAGGTAGTTTATATTTTTGAATTTATAGGTTTTATATCTTTAATGAAAAATGCTTAAAAATCCACCAGCCCCAACCTCAATACCCGTTAATGGGACTCGACCCACAACATTTCGCAATCCGGGCGACTGCTCTAACCATTGAGTTACCCGATACCCAACAGGACTGACAACTTTTCGAGCACTCGTTACTTTTCCCTACTAGTGAGCGTATTTTCTTTAATGTTCAGGCAACCCATCTAATAAGCCGAAAGAAATATTTTTACAAATATTTTAAATTTTCGATTAAGATGAAAATTAGTTCTAATTATTATATTTGATTAATTTAATATGCTATACTTACTCAAAAATATCCTTAAAGATGTTTTTTTTTTCAGTATAGTACTGTGAATTTGAAATTGATCCAATATAATAAAAAAATATAAGACTGCGAATCGTCTTTACGAGAAGACTTCGTATAACAGTTTTAAACAACGTTAAGTATATATATATTTACTAGCTTTCTCCAGAGTCTTCGCTGGCGTGGTCCCTAGAGAAATGTTTAGTGGGATAAAAAGTATCCCATTATCTAAGTTAGCTAATACCCTATCTGTATACCAAATTTCATCAAAATCCGATAAGTAGTTTCGGCGTGATTGACTTTCACATTTATAATATGAAAAGGATAATAGGAAATGTTATCATAGTGTATTAAGTCGATTATTTTTTTTGGTATTAATTAAGTTGTCAACATTTTTAACTACTCATATTTCAATAACGACATTAGTCATTTAGATAGATAGATAAAAAGTTTATTTCTTTAATTTAATTCTTTTCCATTCAAATTTGTTAAATAATAAGCAAAATTACCAAATACAGCATTCGAGTCTATTCTATCTATACTTATATTATAAAGAGAAAATGACTGATTGTTTATTTGTTTGAATCTAATAGGCTCCGAAACACCTAGACTGATTTTAAAAATTCATTCACCTATGGGAAGCTGCGTTGTATGTAGTGAACTTAAGCTATATTTTATCACGAAATAAAGGGATGAAAATGGGAGTGGAAGTTTGTATGGGGAATCTAAAAGTTGCCATAATAACTATTTCTTTTCAATTAGTCATTGTAATACATATAATGTTTAATCGATATCCAAATATACAGTTCCCTAGAGATCCCACGGGTGAAGCCGCTGGCGGAAAGCCATACTGGCTTTCATAATTTCACAAGTTTGTCAAGATCTCATAATTTCAAACGAAATCTTATCATGAATTATGTTGGCCACATTGAAATTGTAGTAATGGGCATTGTACTGCGAGCGGTGGAGATATCACCGATGATGCCTTGCCGTCTGTGTCCTACCCATATTTATTCATTTTGCTTACCTTACAATACCTATGCACGTTTATTTTAGACGTTTAGTGACGAAATGATAAAGAAAACTTGATTTGATATTAACCACACTGTATAATTTTAAAAATGTACATGCTTAATTTAAAAAAAATATATTTTAAAAAATCCCAACACGAGTAAGGTGCTCAAATAGGATTCAAACATATAACCTTTCGTAATTCAGGCGATTGACGAATCTCTCAAATAAAAACTGGTGAAATTAAATTGAATTTAACATTTATCTTTAAGATATATGTCAATATATCCCTGTGAATGCGTAATATGCTTCATATTTGAAAATTGTCAATTAGTTCAGGGAATTCGCGATCGGTTAATCTTTGACTTATACTAAAGCGAAAACTTTTTTATAAAGAGTAATTTGGAAAACTATTTCAATTCCTTAGTTGGTTATTTTCCCCTACATTTAACAGGGATACCTTATCGTGTAAATAATAATATAGAAATATCTTGTCATATTGGTAAGCCGCCAATAGATACATAGATAATAATCTTTCCTGATTGATCTGTTTATTTCTAATATTAGTTTTAGAGGTTGCGCCACAGACAGTAAATAAGGTGCATTAAACTACAGTTTATATTCCATCAGAACACATAGATACTTGAGTATTTCTCAATGAATTTGTGTTGAAACAACCCCGACTCTTACTACCGTGAGTCTACATATAAATGAAATATTTGTTTAATTAATTAACTCGATTATTTTCTTTTCGATGAATGCTGTTAGGTTTTCTATTACCTAAGTATATACAATAACTCATTAGGTTATTACTAAAAATATATTTAAAAATATAACTGTCATGGGATTCATTTTGATTTTTGTTAAAACATTAGGATACGCTTGCCCTGATAAATTTAGATTTAAATTATTATATAAAACACCCGTGTCTTTTATCACTCTGTTAATTGCAACAACAGCAACTGCTGTACACAAAACAAAATTTAACTATTATTTTTCCATCAAATAATAATTAGTTTCGGCGGAGATGTAATCACCATCTTGTTTTTACGAATGTGTCCTGTGTCATTTTTTTTAGAAACATTTTTTTTATTACAATTTCAACGAAGTGTTGAATAATTGTTATAATACTAATTATTTAAGGTTTTTATAATAGTCATCTTAATGGTTATGAGCATGATCTGTTTTCTTTTCTTACATATGCTTAACATAACAATGAAAGAAATAAGTATTATGTAAACCATGCGAGTAGATATTAATATGAATGGGTTGCTTGATGGGCTTTTTTATAATGTTTCCTTATTTATATTTATAATGGGGAAGAACCCTACTATGTACTCGTACCTATGTTTGTTTTATTATAAATTGCATTTAAATTGTCTTTATAAGGTAATGTTTTTTTAACGGCATTTCAATTGAGATTTGAAAAAGAAGTATTATTGCAACTTTATGCCTTTGAAATGTAGCATTATAACAGAAAACAGTTTTTTAAAAAAGCCATTGAAAGAGTAACGAGATTTGTCATTTTATATAAGCAATTGTCATCAAAGACTGATGGCAAGATAATTACATAGCAGTCCCTTCTGTCACACTCTATGTGAGGCTTACTGGATATTCCAGAAGACCGGGGAACAGTATTTTTTCTAGAGACCGTTACATAACATGAGAAATTATATCTAGCATGTCAGAACTCGATTTGATGGTCAAGAATTACAGAAGTCAAACCTAGGATCTGTTACAGCAGTTACTTTAAAGATCGTAGAAATAATAAGATCACTGAAAAAATAACTGCTGACTAACAAACAGGTCTGTATGACGTGATTTCGTGTGTAGGTTTTCCTGCTACATGTATTATCATAATTTGTGATGTTTTTCATGGTAACGGGTAATAACCTCACCATTTTATGCATTTAAATAAAGTTATCGAAAAATTATTGCCATTCCTGGTAGTTTCTGGAGAATGCTTATGTTGATAAGATGCCAGAGACTTCTTTTCACAATTTCGGATGAACGCTTGTTTGTGTACATTAGTACTCTCCATATAACCAAATAATATCCACATTCGATATTGATCTTTGTGTAATTTCTAAGCGGTAAGGTTTAAAATCAATAATAATATTAGTTTGTGGGGAACATACAATATTACATATTTATTTGATGACATAAACATAGACATTTCACATTCACGTAAAGAGTTTATCATCATAGATTTTTGAAACACTGGCAATTATAAACAGAGTAATAAAAATAATATAGATAAATTGATATATACTCTCTATTCGAATAATGTTCTGAATTTGTCTCAATATTATATTTTTAAGATTGAAAAATTAGAAAATATATAAACAAATTTTGTAAAATAGTGTTTGTAAGATAGTGAATATATTTAGTCATTATTGAGAGTTCTATTTTCGTCATCGCTACTGCCATAAGTTTAAACAGAACACCAATTTATAAATGAAACGAATTTTGAAACCATTATAAAGTATATTGTCTGTGTATTAGCATTTTATTAGGATCATATATATGACTAGGGAAAATATTTCGACTGTCAACTGTTAATTTGTTAAGGATAAAAAAGAGGGTCAGTCAACATTGGTCAGCACAATATATTCCAAGTACTTAGCCAGTTGTGTTTTTGGGCTGTCCACGACCGGTTAAGATTGACTAATGACCGTTACCTGTCAGTCAGAGTGTGCTGAGTAACGTCCGACTATGAGTGGATAGCTTTTTGGATACTCGACTCCATCAAAGAACCTGTTGTACTATAAATAGCATATTAATCAATAGATATTGCTTGTAGCTGAGCTATTTCTAGATACTGTGTTACTCTATTTATCTTAAAATTAAAATTACTAAGTCATTATTAATACTTAATCAAAGCTTGAGAATTTATTCTTTAGTCTATTTGACTTTTGAGTGGCAACTGTCAAAAATGTTTGCGTTGTTGTTCGCCAACAAAACCAGTTTCCCGGATTGCAAAAGATAACAGAATCGAGACACGTCTGAGGCACTGTCGATCTTTAAATATATCTCTATAGATTTAACTTATATTTCGTTTTCAGAAAGCATGGTGAGTAGTAGATGTTCTGTGGTCCGCATTTAAGTGTTTTTTAAAGTAGTCTGTTCGGGTAACGGTAATTAAAAATTAAATTCCAACGACGAATATGGTTTAATTTACTACAGTTCCATATAGGTCTCAATATGAATTATAAGAAATAATAACGAATGTAGACCGATTATTATTTTTCTGATCAGGCATTCTTTTTCTATAGATGAAAGTTTGTGTTTCTATCAATGTATTTGTGTAGGTATTTTTTCATTGTTTCATTCCACCCCTATTAGTTACTTATAACAGTATTTTTTCTTTAAATAAAGCATTTTTTCAGTCAAACGATCTTTCTATTCATACCGTTTCGTTTATTTTTTGTTTCTTGAACATATATTTTATGTGTATATATCAGATTCTATGAAGAGTACCTTGTTTTTAAAAACTACCAACTATCATAAAATACCAACATACGCTTTAATTTCATATTTGGACTACGTATGAGGTTATATGCATTTATAAATATGCAATACATACGGGTTTAGACCTCGTTGTAACTATAAATAATTATGTTTATTAATTCTAAATATAGCCGCATTAAGATGGGGGTATTTTAAAAGCAACATATTAGCTTATTGAAATACTGTGTTAAACGGAATGCACCTACTCAAGGTTCTTCCACGCCCTGTTAATTTAATTAAATAAAAAGTTTTTAGTATGGGAAATATGTCTATAGTATAGTGTTTGAAATAACTGACTTTGAAAACTTATCTCGCTTTCCTTCGTCCCTAGTATTATTAGTACTTATAAATCGCTTTTAATAGTTTTTATCGTCTACGATCATAAATAAGTATAAAGTTATAATTATAAAACATTTAATGATCCTTATATCGCATTGAGGAATAAGACCGCTTTTGACAATTTTAATTTCAAAATGCTCTGTAAACTGCTTTACGTGCGCAATATAATGTTTACATGTCTTATAGTTTTACATTTTGCATTTTTATTACATCATTTTAAAAGGTAAAGGTAAAGGTTTAAGTCGAACTCGTGACGAAAAAGCAAAAAAGATAGTAAATGTAAAAAAATATTTCTACACACATAATAAAGGCATTCATTTTACGTTATATAAAAATCAATTTTTGTATATATATTTTTTATAATTAATGTGAAATATATAAGGCCTAAAATTGATCCAAAAAATCTGTTTCTAATTATTGAAATTTATGTTTCTTGTTTTTTGTAAACAATCGACCATATGTTAACTTACATAAAATGATTTTTTATGCAAAATTAAAGCATAGTCTTAGAACAAAATTGGCAATCGCCTTAAAATAAATTAATCAAAGTTAAACTTACCGGGTGGAATGTTTCTATTGTAGTTTGTGGGGATCTGATACATCTGCTGGTCCATGTACAGGATCTGGCTGGAAAAAAGTTAAGATTAATTAGACACCGACAATTTTAATTATGAAGTAGTAGGAAAAATCGGCAAAATGTAATTTAGGTTATGATTACAAAAATGTAATGATATTAAAGCTTGGGCAAAGTCTATTTTAAAATAGCACTCAAAACTAAAATCAGCGGATGTCGTCACTTTCTTTTAAGCGTTGGTTTGTTTTTATCAGCCGAAAACGTCCTACAGTTATCACCATCATCAGCCCTTTTACGTTCCCACTGCAAGGGCTTAGGCTTTTCTTATAGACGTTAAGGAGGATGATGAACGGAGGGTATTAAAGACTGCTGATGCAGCCGGGACCAACGGCTTAACATGCCTTCTGAAGGACGTCGTAGGTCAAGTTAATTTGTTTTGGTCACCCATCCCGTGACTTACGTACGAAAATTGCTTAACAACAATGATCACTGCACTTATTCAGCACGCCACCAAGCAACTCATAAACGTACTTACGTCCTGAAGTAACCGTAGGTGAAAAAAATGTCTTACGTTTCTAAAGTGCTTTAAATTCGATAAAGAATATTTTGAGCTTCTTCCTCCCCTGAGTGCCCACCGATTCGGCTAGATATTTAATTTTGAATATACTTATCTCTTTTCATTCCAAAGAAAACAAAACAATACTAAATGTAATATCCAAATAAAGTTGAAAATAATCATAGGACCAAGTCTATGTATCAAAATAATATTCGTAGTCACGTAGCGATTTCGTAGCGCTTGCTACGATTCGGACCCGCGGTATTTTGATGCATTGAATTTGGTATAGGATAAAACGTTTATAGCTATCGAATAAAATATATTTTGTAATTTTTGTTCTGGATTAAAGGAATCAATTGCATTTTTTTTCAAACATAATATATTTAACGGTATGTATATTAAAAATTACGAAGATTCATAGAGGCGAGCCCTATTTTGTTTTCTTAAGTTATTCATTTTGACACTTTTTATTTAGTAAATGATTCTTTGGAAATGGATTATAGTTAATATACTATATTGATGTAATAAGGATCCATAACAAAAAGTGTTAATAAATATTGTAAAATTTTGATAAAAGCTTTTTATTTTCTGTATTAATGAATGACACACCCCTGTCATATGATATTTGTCGATTGTTGAAATCGTGTGGTCTTATTACCAGACTCCAAACAAGACAAGGTACTCAAAAGAGATGATGCCTGGGTAAAAAAAGTCATATTTTTTTGATTTAATTTAACAATAATAGCTTAGATAATAGGCATAAAATGAAGAATGGGAGCTTTCTACGTCACAACTATGTACCAAATGTACAAACGTGTGTCAATAATGTGTTCAATAATCTACTTAATGGACATATAAAAAAATAGTCATCTTCCCTATTAGATTTACAGTTTGAATTGTATTTTTTGGGTTCCATACCCAAAGAGTAAAAACCATATTATTCAGATTCCGCTGTCTGTCCATCTCTCTGTCACCAGACTCTATCTTATGAATCGTGATAATTAGACATTTGAAATTATCACACAAAAAAAATTAAGGGCTCCCATACAACAAAGAGTTTTTCTTGCGTTTTTCATATATAACTAGCTTTTATATTAATTGAGTAAAGAAACTGCAGGCAAGAAGAATGAAGGACATTTACAAAAGTAACTGCTTACTACTACATAGTAATCCAAAAAGCAAAACTAAATAGAATTGAGTAATAGACAGAGTATTTGAGGAAGAAAGTCCAGTTTGAAGTGTCTTGATTAATTTATAAAAACAATCCCATCTCATATGTATTTCAGTCAGAGTTCCAAACCTTAATAACTCTGATATGAAATAATAAAACCCGCTGTGGAGATTGAAACTTAACTCGAAGCTTCACGGAACGTTTCCACAATACATTATACCAACCATGTAACTAACTAATTACACGCCTAACCATTATTCAATACAATTGGAATACAGAAAAAAAAAACAATAATTCCTTCAATCATTCTTTACGATTAACGGAATGATAAGTTCAATTAGCGTACCTATTGTATATGTTATTATTTATTAAATGAAAAATAAAATATTTATATAATCCACTCATTTCTAAAGTCTGAAAATTTCAACTTCTATATAGTATAAAAATAAAGTTGCATTCCGCTGTCTATATGCATAGATCTTATAACGGATGTTAATGCATAATACAGGACCACGCGGGCCAAGCAGCTGGCGGAAAGAAATAAGAATGTTTACATAAACATTAATAAGTTTTTATTCTAAGTCATTTAATTAATGACTACCATTTTAGGAATAACATTATAAACATAACACTGTTTACATAAGTGATATTAATACGTCGCCGTGGTAGTAGTAATATAATTATATGTGAAGGTGAAGAAGATCTTCGTATTGAATGGATTAAAGGAAAGCCTAAGCTTACCGCTTAACGTTTTAAATATTGTTCACAGTTAAGCCGCTTTTCAATAACACTATTTTCTCTTAAGTATGCATAAATTGATATATAAAAATAATGACTGTCAGTAACTTTCCATTCATGATGTTATCTTAAGTATTATATTCTATTAATATCACAAAGGCGAAAGTTTGGATGTCTGTTCCGGACTGATCTTGATAATAATGGTATATAGGTAATAATACTAAGTGTGTATTAACATAGGCTTTTTATCCCAACAGTTCTATAGAAGGGATAAAAAGCCTATGTTATGTGTACATAGTTATGTGAACGCTGCCTCAATAGAGTGAGATGAATGCCTTCTAAAGAAAAGTTGTAGAGCTTTAAAATATCTATTAAAAAGTTTGCGATGGTATATATATCCGCTAAGAATTAGTCACAAAAATAAAAATAATTCGAAAAAGCGTATTAAAAATTATTGTCCGTTTTTGAGATAGAAAGAGGAAATGAAACCAATGTTAATTTATATTGTCAAAAACAGTTTTTAATTAATAAATTGCAAACTATTGTAAAAGTGCTCCATAAAATCGTTGGCTACAAAGTGACTCATATATTTATCAAATTTACAACTTTATAAATGCATTATATTCAATCTAGATTTTATAAATTCATGTATTATTTACGACATAACCTATAGAAAGAGGTTTGATGTATTTTTTAATAAATAGCTTATTCAAACGTTATTTTTCTATCTAAAACAGGTTAGTGATATTTTGTGCACACACCCTCTTAATCGGCTCGTAAGGGCTTGGTGTGTAACCTTGTCTTTTATGGCTTCTTCCTTTAGGTATATATAAATATTTTAACATAATATTGCGTGTGTTTTCCACAGCTATTAATTGATATGTATAAAGAATTAGATAGATACAGCACAGGCTTTCAATAAAATATTATCTTGAGCTACTTTCGGAAGGCTCCTTGCAATTGCAAATCCCCTTTTATGCGCAGTGGGCTGGCGTGAAGGGTCTTAGCTCCTCTTTAACCATCCATAAGGAAGGTCTTAACCCCTGCAGTGGGAACGTAAAAGGGCTGGTGATAATGAGTCCAATATAAAAATAGTTTTTACTAGCTTTTATTTAACTTGACGTGTTAGTATGTGTTAATTCTGTGAAGTTAAAACTTTCCGGTTTTCGATTAACCTGAAATTTTGCATATACATATAACTTGGACGATAGTGTCAAATTAATATTTGTATGATGATGGAAACATTGGGCCTCTATAATTAAATGAAGCAATGCCATCATGTTTGGGCTCATTTGATTTGCTTATTCACGGACTTTAGTCCAAGATAATATTCAGGTTGTGATGCTGAAGCCGAAGGTTGAACACGAGAACTTTTTAATTAAATAACGCAACCCTATCGACTTTGGGCTCGTTTGATTTATCTATCTTTGAAAAAAAAAAGAAAAGATAGTCCAACGTTGACACACACAAGCTAAAATGTTATATTACTAAAATCTATTTAATTAGTTACTCGAAAAATATTAATATTCTTATATCTTTGTTTGTAATTATTAGTATTTAATTAAAAGGCAATTAAAATTATTATTAAATAATTTTCTTAAAATAATAAATCAATAAATAATTAAAAGAAGAATTTTAATATAGATGAAGTTTAGAGTTAAGCTTTTTTAATTGGTATATTATGGATTGAATATGTTACGAGTATTTCATGTTTTAATCCAGTGTCATCGCATAATCGTATAACATATGATATCATTATGTACATACGTTATTTTTAATTACAGTTTTATTTTGATTTCCAGATGTGCATGGATTATTTTAAAATAATGATATAGACAAATTGTACTAAATCGTAAAATAATGTTGTGGTAATTAAACATAAAAAAGAGTTGTTATTGCTGCAAGTATAATTATGAAGTAGGAAACTTATGTTTTTGCATAAGTTTAAATTTAGCTTTTGCACACAATTCTAATTATGACCATGCAATTGTGAACTTAATCATCATCATCACCGACCTTTTAATGCCCCCTTTGCTGGGGTACATGCCTTTCTTATGAAATCAAAACGAACCGGGAGAATAGGTTACATCAACCACGCGGACATTGGTGGGTTTTAACGACGACAAATGCAGTCAGGATCCGCGGCTTAACGTAACGTAACCAAAAGGCTACCCTATGAAAGGCCCTTCCAAAAGTTGCATAATTACCGCATCACAGACCGAAAGCTTTAACAACTGCGTTGTCGAGCTCCTTTTCGAACTATCATCCTAGAAACTCAAAAAATGTGTAGCGTATCATGAATATTAAAGTTACTAATTTTTTCACTTTTCATAGAGCATGGAGGTGGAATATAGGCAATATTAAATATAAATGCGAATTGGTTTCTTGCTTGTCTTCGACCTTTTCCAGTGGGAAATGGACGTGCCAAGGTGAGCATGTATGTTATGATCGGCACTTTGTATGAAAATTGTAAATGTATTAGCCTGGATTTTTACAAATTGTAACATTGCGTTTTTCTTTACAGTTACAAAATGTTATTTATGTATTCTTAAATCTTTTAATAAAATATTTATTTATTTAGTGACAAC